TGTCTCTGAAACCGCCATTGAGGAAAATTAAAATTTACTCTTTCTGCACTAAAATGCAGAAAGAGTAAATTTTAATTTAATAATTAAAATTTCTGTTTTGTAAATTTTAATTTAATAATTAAAATTTACAAAACAGAAAGATACACGAAAATAATAAAATAAAATCGCAGCGATAAAAATCTTATGATGATGTTCAAAAAATGACTTATTGCAAGAAAAGAGCAGGGATTTACAAAACACATATAGCATTTAAAAAAGGCAGATGTAATATAATAAATTACATTTATTAATGATACAATAAACAATGTAAAGCACAACCACAATATTAAAACCTAAACCTTAGTATTACACAGTAAATGATTAAATACTAATGAAATGAATAGATCTACAAAGGAGAAAAAAGTTCAAGAGAGTGGGAAAAAACCCACAGGTGGCAGTGCCACTGCCCACGGTTTTACACTTAAGTTTGAGGGTTTGCAGAGATTATGTTTAGCGATATTTGCGAAACTGAATAGATAGTGGTCAGGATCTCCGACCATTCCACAGTCTGAAACAAGTAGTCTTCTAAAAAGGTTTATTTTAGGATAAGATAACCTGTGTATATATCTTCGTCTTCTTATGTAACCTGGGTTCCGTAACCGATAGGCCTATGTAGCTACTTATATTTCTTCCTCCGACATGCAGATCAGAATTATAAAATATAGGTTTTTCACAGGTATTACTTAGAATTTTGCATATTTCAAACTCTTTTGCTTATAATGCTTACAATTTATTTAAATTGAAACTTGATTCCAAACTTAATAGAAGTGAAGTTTGATGCTTTGAGGTCTCTTGTTTAATACAACATAGTTGTAGAACCAATTACAAAAGAAAAGTAGCAACACACTGCAAAGCCTATATGCAGGTACAAATAAAAGTTTTCTTTTCTTTTTTTTTTTTTTTTTTTTTTTTTTTTTTTTTTTTTTTTTTTTTAGAGGCTAGAATTTTACCATTGGTTGTTGTACAGATGTGGTACTACTCCACTAACTATAGAACACCACGAGACGGATCTGAAGGTCTTACACTCTTCTTTTCCTATCACTAAAGAGCTCGAGAGGACTTTTGAAGCAGGTACTTTATGGGCTTCAGCCCTCACAGACGGTTATGCATTTATGCTTTTTGTGACATTTGAGTTTGGGCACATCGATGCAGCAGCCAGCATCGCTAACTACTATACTGATTAGGATGGCTAAGTTTAAGTACAGGATATTTCATTTTCTGCACTTTTAATAATGCACAATCTACTTACTTTTGTAGCATTCGCTGCTGCGAGGTCAGATGTACAATAAGTAATTGCTTTATTTCTTTGATAAAGAAGGATGTTGCTGGTTTGGATTTTTTAACATAGCCAACATTGGTTGTCAGTGATATTTCCTTGCCTCAGCTTTAACCTGAGAATAATGTTTGCGACGTAATTACAAGTCCTTTGGACTGACTAGCTTCCAATCTACCAACAGCTTACCGTCATTGATATTCTTTAAAATAATATCTCTCAAATATATTTTAAAAGTGAAATTTTAGAGAAACATAGGAAAATGCAAATACAATCATAATTCACATTTCATCGCTTTTTATTTGCGTAGCCGTTACATTAATATAAGCTCAGTTATATGTTTTCAATTGTTCCGAAGTTAACATATACATTTACTTTTATTAAAGGTTTGATCGATAATTCTCAAATTGCGATTTAATTTTGTTCAGAAGATTAATGGAATGATTTTAATCATCATTTATATAATTTTGTTCAGTGTTGAAAGTCATGCAAATTTATGTTACTGTCTAAAGGAACGACATTATTATTATTATAGTCAAGCGAATTACTTTCTAAATAAATGTTATTTACAATCATTCATATCTTTCTCAAAAAGATAATTCTAGACTGAAGTAACCAGATGACTTGGTATTTCTTGGCTAGCTGTCCCCATTCTAAGAAATCATTTTCAGAAAATTGAAACAACAGTACATCGACAAGATGACATGCGTCCTAGGCCTAGCCATGCCTATTTGAATGCCATCCTTATTTGAAATTGTACTCAGAAAAAAAGATATAAATATATAAAGAAAAATACAAAATAGATAAATAAAAGAGCACAAAAATTACATATATATATTTGCAGTGCTCCACAGCAACGGTATTAAAACTGAATTATAATCATCATTATCAATATCATTAATTTCAGTTGTTTTATCTGTATGATACCGATACATATCATTGTGCATATTTGTTTTATTAGAGCACTATCACACTTATTTAGACATTTACCTAGCATCAAGCTATATAAAAAAGGAATACTTATGAACAAATTTGAACTTGCAGAAGAGCTATGATAGTAACACATGAAAATCACAGAAAACATATAGTAACACATAATAGCACAAAACATACAGATTGCATAAAGTATGTAATAATGCATAAAACAAGCTACAATATTATAGAATAACAAATATGAGAAAAGTACTTATAATTAGACAAATGGTATGAGGAATGGTAGAAAAATGGTAAATGAAGTATATATATATATATCTTTTAATGATCACATGCTTTGCTGCTGATGAGAAATTCTGGCATATGTAAATAAACACAGTAATTAATAGCTCTTTCAGTCTTAAACTGTGCAAATTTATTTGAAACTGTATTCTCCGCGCAAACCGTCCTATCTCCAGGAACCAGTAATTTCAGACGGTGGATCCAAGTGAAGGAACCTTTAAATAAGTAGTGATTGGGTTTGCTAAATCAGCCACATTCACTGATGTCTGTATCACTATGTCCAAATTGGCTTAGGCAGCACATAACCTTTTAACGTGAACGTTTAGAAACTGAATAAAAATTTCTTTATCAGTTTGAAATTCTGTACTAACTTTCTTCATCAGCCGTTCGGTACGACTTCTTGCCGTAATTGAATTCCAGCCTTCCTGCCACTGCTCAAAATGTGGATTGTTTCAGAATTGTGGTTGGAAGTAAAACGTGTTATACCAGAAGGGATGGCTCACTGGCCGCACTTGCATTGATATCTACCTGCTCATTTCCCACATTACCAGTGTGAGTCAGCTCTAAACATAGAGTAGACTTCTTATACTGGACACTTAAGCAGTGCTTAACGTACTTGGATAACTTAGGAACTTCTGCTTCGACCTGCGAGACTGCAGCAAGACTGGAAACTGATTCACTGAATATGACAGTTATATTCTGGTGATTACACTGCAGTGTACATTTGGAAAATCAATAATAGGATATTCAAGAGCTACAAGAAATCGTAATGCCGCCAACAATAACCAACGGTTTCTCTGTGATGTTCTCTTCTTGAAAACCTCTATACAGGCAAAAACATTTTATGGAAGACTCTACAAGAAAGGATATCAGAAGGCAAGAAAACCAGTGCTAAAGCCAACAGTCCTTTCATAAGGTCTATATTTAAAACCAACAAGCTTGTGTGCTCTTGAGTAATGAGGTTAAATTTTACCTTAACCTTAGACTCGAATTATCAGCTTATTTTATACAGACAGTAACTAAAAGTCAAACTTTCTCCACTTAAATGAGATATATTTATCATTAAGAGGGAGCTAGAATCATGACATTGAGTGGCATCATATATGATGCACATACTCTGCTCTATAAGTTTACATATAGCGTTCAAGAAAATGTTCTTAATCGCATTCACTGTAGATGTACAATAATATCGTCATCGGAGGTACTTGCAGTTACTTCATCATCATCACTGCTATCACTAATAACTCGTAATCTGTTAGAACGAATGATGATGTCACTTCCACTATCACTTTCAAGGTCATTACTATATTCTTCATTATCGGCTTCTCATAACATAGTCACTTTCAAATGAATCAGAACTTGACATGGGTTATTTCGTAATTATCAGTACTTGGTAAAAAAATGAAAACAATTTCCAATTCGTATAAAACAACTGCTACTGATATCACTACAACTGCTCTCAATAATTGCGTAAAGTATATTTAACTAACAGCAGCGTCTTCGCATTCCCGATACAAAACATTTAAATCAAATGAAAATGAGAAGCGCTATCGCGCTGCACTGTATTTTTGGCATACGACAAGTGAAGCGCGATAGCGCTTCGCCGGACTCAAACGGTTAAATTTGTGGCTACATGTTTTGTTTATAAATGTTTGACTTATGTGAAATTGTTGATGTTTCAGTGCTCCTCACGGGTCTTGAAAAGTTGTTATTTAGCTGTAAGATTCAGCGTTAGCTGAATTGCGATTTAGAGTTTGGGTTTGGCAAGTGATGCTATTTCTCATATGCTGAGAAGAAATGCTTAATATACAGGTTCTCCTTAAGCCACGTAAAGTATTTACTTTGCTTATATCTAGTTGATTACTGGAATAAATAATTTAGAGAGATATTAGTAAAGCTGTAGCTTCGTGTTATGAATTTTTATTTCCATAAATAATGTAGCAGAAAATTTATTTTAAAATTTAAAACTGAGATTAATTTATTTCAAAATGAAAGTAAGCAATTGTATTGTTGGATTTAGAGCTTCATTTATTACTTACGTTTTCTTGAAGTGTTTTCGAAGAGAAATAAAGGATAAGTCTAGATTTATTTTAATAACTCCAATTTAATTTTATCAGCATTTTGAATAATCACGCGTACGGACTTCAAATTCTGGAATAAAAGTCTTCTACGTTCAAGTTTTTCTAAAATTTAAATAATTCTTTTCTCTCGAAAAAGTAAAATTTTTACATATTATGTTTAAATATATGGGTATGATGTAATTGCCTATAAACGTTTTTCTTCTTGTCAAAACTTGCATACATATTAATGAATAATATGATAGGCAGCTGGTGATGGGTTTGGTATATTACTCTCAACCTCTTGTATCTTTTTTAAAGTAAAATTCAGAAATACTTCTGCCTAAAATGCAAAATGTCAGGAGTTTCTACTGTCAGATCCATGCAGAAATGACAGCTGGCAAAAATCTTCCTATATTATAAAAACTTGCCATTTCATCTCCAATTACAATCAGAGAAGGGCTCCTCGATGATGGCAAGATTTACTATAGGTATTCTTTTAATAATATTAGCGGCTGCCGCTGGAAAAACAGTGGAACGCAGAGCTCTAGAGAGAAATCCGTATGGTATAAAGCAATTATCTTCTTAATATAGTTGTTAAATATTCTGTAATGTTCTATCAAATGCTTAATATCTAACTATGCATAGTACGCTTTTTAAAGCTGAATATATGGAGCAGAACCTGGTTTTAAAATATTAAATAAATGTGTATGTGTTAAGTGAAACAAATTAAATGCAGGTTAAATGTTAAAACATTTGTATATGATAGTTTAAAAAAATCTAATTATTATCTTCCTTCCCCTAAATATTAGTTTGTACGTAGAAGTGCACTTGGTCCTTTAGTTTCCTTGAATTGCTTTTTACGTACTTAAAATCCTTGAACACTAAAATCATTGTCAATGAGTTGTATTTTTGTTACCTCCCCACAGGCAGAATCCACCCAAGGAATTAACATTTAATCAGACCTAGCCATAAATAGCCGATTATTCTTATAATTTCTCATTAAGTCTTAGCGATTAGATTCACTGAAACAAAGACCTTAAATTTCTTCTGAAGGTCTTGTATTTTCCTCTTTCATCATGCAACAGATATCATTTATAGAGGTAAATTTCAAAGAGGTATTTATATAGGTTAGCTTATACAAGTAAGCTGAAGGAGTTTAATGCATTTCTGGTAGAAACGAAAGATTATGAGGAAATATAGGTCCATTTCCGGAACTTCCTGTCTGTACAAAAATGGAACATTATACCAATTATTTAAAAGTAGAAATTATACAGTTTCAAAATGTTCAAGGATATAACTAATTCAAAAACAAACATTTTTGGTACTTTTTTTTACTGCGGTAGACAATCTTTTAAAATCAGTTATTATTTTATCATCAGATTCCTTAAATTGAAAAATATTCATTTATTAATTGATTATTTATTTTGAAATCTTTGTTTTTAACAGTTCCGTTCTTGATAGTTATAGCTTTGCCAGAGTAGATCGTTTAAAAATTTAAGGTTTTTCTCCCTTTTTGCTGCGTACCTGGGTAAGTGGAAAGCATGTCCAACTAAAGTATAATTCTACAACGTAAAAGTATAATTCGGGTAACATTGTTTAGTGCTATATTTTTGAATGACTACATATGTAAAGAAAAGGCAATAACCCAGATGTCATTAAGAGTTACATTTTTTCTTAATATATCCTTTAACAATAAATAAAAAGAAGCATAATAGTTTGAACTTGAAAATGTGCCAAATTCTGAAACTAAAGTTGATTGCATAGAGTATCTACTTACCTTTCAAAAAATTTGTCACGGATCCCTCTTCTTTTAAAGGAAAAGTATTGCGCTATTATTTAGGGACATACTGCGTTATAGTTTGTCATTTATTTTTTTAAGTGATTTATCCAATAACTTGTTATGATCTTAGATACCAAGCTGAATTATCATGTTATCCACTGTAATACGACGAACCACAGTCATTTCATATAATAATTCTTAATTAGTCCGTGTTTTTAGCTGTACATATCGCGGTTATGTACCATAATTTTGATTATATTCTGAAGATTGATTCAAGTTCTAATTGCGGTTTAAATTCATATGCATTGACCCTTTTTCGAAAACATATTTTAATGCTACCCTGGTTTATATTAATAATTTAATGTTTTATGATTTTTTCTCTCTGAGACTCATTTTATAATCATGTCTTCAAAACGACAACATACGCACACGCGATAAATGATAGGATCAGCAAACTCTGAATTTCGGTAAGGAAGAAGAAAAGAATTGCAATTATTCTACATTCAAACTTAGCAGCATAATTGTCTTTAAAATTTGTTTCATGTTATTTCTATTTTTTTAACATTGTTTTATTGATATGTTTTGTCTTTCTCAAAGGCAATGTAAATTTCAAAATGATCAGTTAATCGTATTTATTAACACATTTGTTTTTCAGTATATTTGAAATTGACTTCCTTGAAGAGGAGTTACTGATCAATTTCTGATTTTCATCATCCCGTTTATGTTGTTCTACTAAATGTTTTGAGGCTGACGTTGATTTATAACATACGTATTTTATTTAACAATATTAATTAATTTTTTTAACATTAATTAATATTAATATTGTTATTAATTAATATTGAATTAACAATATTTTAATTTGGATTTTCTTTAAATTTGCCATCTTGCGGTTTTAATCTCTTTCTAAAATTTTACAGAGAATATTTTCATTTTTATCTTTAATGCATGTATTATATGAACAATTTCATTTTTTACTTTTTATGAAAATATATACATCAGTTACAGAAAATTTTATAAGAGAGAATTAATGAAGCAAAAAGAATTCTATAAATGCATAATGTATGAGGAAACCCATCAAGCAATATATTTTTGTTCTGAAAAGAAGTTAGATGCTTCTCATGTCTTCTTTAATATCATTAGCGTTTTTTTATGAAAACAATGGAGTTAAAGTTTCATTTTAACCTACTTTTCTAGCGACATTAGAGTTTTTTATTATTATTTTGCAGTAGAAGACATAAAAAAAAATGCAGTGCCCTCACCTCGCTTCGAACGCTGGACCTTCTGATTGTTAGTTAAACATGCTTTCCACTTACCCAGGTACGCAGCAAAAAGGGAGAAAAACCTTAAAATTTTAAACGATCTATTCTGGCAAAGCTATAACAATCAAGAACGGAACTGTTAAAAATAAATATTTCAAAATAATTAATCAAATAATAAATGAATATTTTTCAATTTAAGGAATCTGATGATAAAATAATAACTGATTTTAAAAGATTGTCTACCGCAGTAAAAAAAAAAAGTACAAAAATGTTTGTTTTTGAATTAGTTATATCCTTGAACATTTTGAAACTGTGTAATTTCTACTTTGAAATAATTGGTATAATGTTCCATTTTTGTACAGACAGGAAGTTCCGAAAACAGACCTATATTTCGTTATAATCTTTCGTTTCTACCAGAAATGCATTAAACTTCTTCAGTTTACTTGTATAAGCTAACCTGTATAAATACCTCTTTGAAATTTACCACTATAAATGATCTCTGTTGCATGATGAAAGAGGAAAATGTAAAACATTCAGAAGAAATTTAAGATCTGTTCAAGGATTTCAAAATTTTCCATACTGCAATACAATGAGAGTAGAGGATTTCACTAGACCATCAAGAACAAGCAAGACTCACAAATATTGCATGCAGATTTACTAAAGGAATAAAAACGTTAACGGAAGATAAGAACAACATAATTCAATCCTCTTTTAAAGCAAAAAATGCACAATTTACGAACATATAAGAATAAAGAAACTGAGCTCACTGAGCCGAGTAACAACGTGAATATGTATATATATATATATATATATATATATATACTTTTAGTGCGGCCGATTGCAACCAAAATACGAGGTGCACATCTGCATATTATAGCAGTCCTACATACAAAATTTCAGGGTTCTGAGGCTACTCGTTTTTGAGTTATGCGAGATACGTACGTAAATACGTAGGTACGCACAGACGCTACAAAAAATTCTCTTTAAAATTTATTTTAAATCAGTTTTATAATTTTTTGGGGGGCAAAGTGCCCTTTATTCTGTCCTTGCTTGCGGATGCCACGCAAAAACATTAAATTGCCCTGGATAACGGTCAAAATCGATATTTTCGTTGAAATATGATACTCGAAATTTTTCTCGATTACAATATTTCCTTTTTACTTCGTACAAGGAAGTAAAAAGAATATGATTAAACTCGCCAACGCAAACTATTTGCAGTGGCGAAAAACTTTCGTTAAAACCTAATATAGTATACATAAAAATTTCAAATTATACCTGTCTATACCTATATCTGTAACTATGTATCGAGCTATGTACCATTATCTAAATATAGCAATATATGTACGCACATACGCAAACATAATTTATTTATGTATTCATTTTCATAGACCTACATGATTTTTCACCTTTCGGCAGAAGGCAGCCTGTCTTTGTTATGGAAGCGGGAGAGTTGGGAAAATTCAGCAATGGATATCCATTTAATTCGCCACCTTACGAAAGAATCTTCAATCCGCTACCAAGTAGCAGAAAAGATATTGGTACAGAATTTCGGTTCTTCAGCTCAACGAATAAAGACGAACCTCAGTATATTTCCAATATGAATTTCTCTTCGTGGAACATAAAAGATAGCGGTTTCAAGCGCTCTTGGAAAACATTCTTTCTCATACACGGTTACAGCGGAGGTAATGCTGAATGGCAAGTGGTAAGTAACGTAATCGGAAACAAAAACTCATGGAAAGTAAATTTTTATTTCGTAAATTGAACTTTATAGTTTTCTAAGATATATGAAATTTCTAGATCTCGTACTATATTATACGGAAAATTATATACAATTGTATAAGTTGACGCACACCTATGCGATCTAATTAACATGCTGATAGTAAAAGTTCACAATTCAAAGAAAATTGAAAACATACGACTTGAAACTAATGACTTGAAAGTTTTAAATGAATGAATTTAAAATTATTGAAATTTAGCTCATAGCGTTTCCAGAAGTTTGGCGTATAATGCTTAAAAATACACTGAAGTGCCACTGAATTAGGAATAGCTAGTCAATAACGGGTTGGGCTCCCTCTGGCCTTTATAATGACTGCCAAACGACGAATCCTAGATTCAATAAGTTTTTGGAAGCATTCTACGGTAATGGCTTGCCAAACATCGGATACAGCTGTGTATAATTTAGGAAGAGTCGCTAGTTTTGTGTGATGAGGTTTCAAACCTTTCTCCAAAACTTCCGAAAGATGCTCAGTAGAATTTAAGTCAGGGCTTTTAAATAGCCATTTTATGACAGATAATTTAGAAGAATGCTCAACCAGGCAGTAGCCAACCGAGACCTGTGAGAGGTGCAGTTATCTTGCTGGGATACTCCATTTCCGTGTGAATGACAGAACAACATAAATGGATGGAGATGATCACCCAGAACTCTACGTACTAAATTATATTGAGGGAGGTTGGTACAAGAACCGAAGATGCCAAAGATCCCAAACACTGCCAAGAAAAAACATCTCAGACCATGATTAAGCTACCATGGCCTTGTACAGTTCCAATCTGCCGCTCAGGGTTCATGGCTTCAGCAGTCTGACGCCATATTCACAGCCTCCCATCGGATTAATTAGTCGGAATTGAGACTCATCACTCCTTGCTACTCATTTCAAGTCGACTAGAGTCTATTCTCTGTATTGTCTTGTCCAGGCAAGAAGTGCAGCTCGATGGCATGCATTTAGCAAAGGTAGTCTCGTGCGTCTACGACTCCCGAAGACCGTATGGTGAAGGGAGCTTTGCACGATCTTTTTACTGACTGTACGACTGTCGCCCTGATTCAGCTGGGTGGTAATTTGAGCTAATGTTGACACCTTAAAAATCCTAGCCCACTAAGGATTTTGGAAATTAAAAGGCCCATACGTCCGATATTGAAGCTGTCTAAATCAGAAGTTTTGCCCATACTGATAATTGAAGCGACTAATTAACAACAACCATAGTAACCATAGCTGTATGTGCACTTACCACGTGAGCACAGATGCCGCGCAGCGCCATAAAATTTGCATAGCCATATCTATCCCTAATTAAGTGGCACTTCAGAGTATATCAAATGCATTTTTTGTTTGTCGAATTTATTTACCTGAAATCTGTACTACTTTGTATTCTCCATTTCCTCTGTATTTATTTTCCCTTTCCTATATCCATGTGTTTTTTTCTAATGCCAAAATATGTGCATTTCGTATGTAACAGAACGTTAACATATTTGTTGAGCATTTTAAGAGTTAAAAATCGTATAAAATATTATGACTTTATTTTTTTGCACAGAATCTAAAAAATGCACTATTAAAGAAAATGAAATGTAACGTTTTCGTCGTTGATTGGTCAGAAGGAGATGGACCTATATTTGAACAAGCGGTTGCAAACATAAGAATAGTCGGAGCTGAAGTTGGACTTTTCATTCAGCGATTAGTAGTAAGTTTGATTTGATATCATCCTGTTACTTAAGTACTAATCTTACAAACACTGTAAAGTTCACAAATATTTACTTCATAATTTTACATACATACTATATTCACTAAGTCAGGAAATGATAAAACTTCAATTGTATTTTTGGTTATGTACTTATAGTACTTGAAAGCTGAGTTACTGATCCTAGTAATGGATGGAGATAATTAGCCTATTTTAAGTTCGACAAATAGTTAGAGGCAATAAGAGTCACACTGAGTAAGATCTTACTACCTGAGCCTTATGTTATTGCCAGATTTTTGTAACCTTTGCAACTATTCAGTTAGAAATATTTTTAATGTTTTTGTTCTTAAGACAGAAAGTTATTATCTTATTCACTTCACTTGCCCTGTAGTCTATCATCTGTGCCTCGTAGTAAACCGAAAACATGAGCGATGCTGTCTCCGAGATTTGAACTCCAGATTTTTAAATTGCTAGCCGAACGTGCTACCACTTACACGACTTCGCCACGCAGTTCCTCACATGTCTACTAGCACAGGAATTTAAATTAAAGTACTGTGTCATAGAAAGTTTAAATAAACTTCCATTATTTTGTGTGCTATTATAACACAGAAGGTTAAATAAAAGTGTTATAACACATAAAATACAATCTGTTTAAAAAGAGTAATGAGGTTTTAGTTGCTTATAGAAATATTTTCTCTGTGCATTTAAGTTGACATATATTATAAAGCAGGAGAAAAATTTTAATTCTCTTTGCTTTTTAATGGTAAACGATATGGAATACTACCATCTGTTCCTGAAGCTCTCATAATGCTGTGATTAGCAGAACCGATATTTCTTTACTATTCATTGAGGAATTTCCTTAGAGAGAGAAATCTCCCCTCCACAACGAAGAATCATAATTCGAGCATGCGACAAAACGAAACATGATTGTCACTTGTGATTCAAATGGGATGCGTGTCATCTGAATCGAAAACGTGCAGTGACTAGCGTAGAACATTTTCATTTTAATCTTATCAGATGACATACGGTATGTTCATTTATTGCGAGATATAACGATGAGAAAATCAAATACATCGTTTCCGTCTCTGAAACACCTTCTACTTAAATGTCTAATTACAATTTCTGTGCTGGCATTTCATATTGAAATATACCAGTGAATCGAACTTTTACTAAAAAGCATTTTTCTCGAATAAATAAACTAATATTGAATGTCCGTGCGTAAGGTATATATCAGCATACCTTGAAAGGATCTTAAGTTTTACTAACGTTTATTTTATTTTAAATCTTAACTATCACTTCTTATTTTCTACTTCCGGCCAGAATTAAAAGCTTTAACTTATTTATGCAAATTTGTTTGGCGAACGCCAAGTACTTAAGTTGTGGCTTTTTGCCAAGCAAGAGAGAGGAAGGAGTTAGTCGAAGCAGGCCGCTTGCATTAGCAGTTTTACACGGTTGCTGGTTGCCTTCCAGGCCAGAGGTTTAATCCTCGTGATAATTTTAAACGTATTGTAGTGTTAACAGTTCTCTGTACTACATACGGCTTCCTGTTAATATACGGCCAATCTTCCACGTAGGCCCTTGTTTTATTCCAAAGTTAAGTTAGAGTTTAGTTAATATTTTTATATTCTTACGTTCAGACCACAAGTGGTTGGTCTCTGTATTCCGAAGTCCGGAAATTATTGTAAAGAGTGAAAAATAAAGGGTTTCGTATACCCTTCCTGTGTATCTTGTCTACTTCCCACATTTATTGAACATAGCTTTAGTAAGCTCCCTGTTCCGAGTCAGGTCATTTGAATGTTCCCAAAGCAAGTAAGGAGAAACACTGAACCTGATAGTGGCGCCCGACGAAGAAGAATAACCATGGCCGAGTTTCAAGAAGAACCTGTGCTGCCTGCAGAAGCGGCTCAGAATCCAGAAATGCCAGCTGCCGCCCTGGAAGGATTTGGTTACATCATCGTCCAGACCATGCGCGCATTCGATGAAACCAGAAGCAACATTTAATGGAAACTCACCGGTAACCAGTTTTTTGGAAAAATTGGATGACCACTTCATGCTGTATCCCGTGCATGAGTTCCAGAAAGTCACCTTAGCTACCAGCGCTTTGAGGGGCCAAGCGCTTAATTGGTTCAAATGTATAGGCAGAAGTCTCTTGGGTCAAGCGGGAAGTCCCACCTATACTTACGAAAATTTCAAGACTGCCTTAGTAAAAGCCTTCCCTGTCGTAAGGGATCGTGCGAAATTAGAAACGGAACTTTTCAGCATATATCCAGCAAAAGAATTGAAAATCTCTCAAGCTTTATTTTAAGAAAAATTCACGTCTTCAAACTCTTGTATGGAAACCGTCCGGATCCTGAGATAATTCAAGTGATTTTGCCGAGGTTACTTCCCCAAGTACAAGACTTTATTGAATTAAGGAATCCGACTACACTGGAAAAGTTATTTGAGCTAGCAATCCAGTTTGAAAGTAGAAGAACGGCGGACATTGAAAGAAGACGCCAATATGAGCAACGAAACCAATTTGGTGCGCCAAGACCACAGCAAAGTCAAGCACACGGCTACGGAAGCAAAGCGAATCAGTGGGCAAGGAAACCCGAGTATCCAAAAACAACCGGCGAACGTCGACAGTTCAATAGCAATCCAGGAAAAAAGTCTGAAGGCCAGTGGAAAAAGAAGGAAAGCATGGAAAGGAAAAACAAGATTTAAACTAAAACGGATTTCTGCTGACGGGAGGGTGCGGAAATCCGAAGGCCAAGAAAACCCCTCTTCCTTCAAGTTAAATACAGTGAATGGTGAAAAATTTGACTCTTCCAAAGATTGAAGTGTTGGTGAATAACATCCCAGCCACCGCACTCCTGGATACAGGCGCGCAGTGTTCCTGTGTGGCAGAAGATTTTTTTAGGAAGTATTTTCGTAAATACCGCATATATAATTCGGATAATACGACAGTGTTAGCTGCGCAAGGAGAAAGATGCAAGTGCATAGGTAAATTACCGCTATACGTCCGTATCAAGGACGAACAAGTAAAGGTTATGTTTTTTATAGTAAAGAATCTGCAAGCACATATTATCTTAGGAATAGATTTTCTTTCAGAGGCAGAAGCAACGCTGGATTTTAATGAAGCGTCCCTTAAGCTGACGATGAAACCAGTTCGAGAAGAAAAAACGGAACCGCCAATGTTAAACCTTGACCACCTGCCTAAGGAAGAGCAACAAAGAATCCGACAAGTGGTAAGTGAATTTGCTTCGTTATTTAGTGATATTCCAGGATTTACTCAAGTTACTAACCATAGTATCGACACCGGAGATTCACTGCCAGTTCGCCACAAAGCATACCGGTATGATAAGAATAAAGAAAAAATTATAGAATGGCACATTAGAGATATGTTACGTAAAAAGATCATAACGCCCATCTCAAGTAGTTATGCTAGCCCGGTGGTTTTATGTAAGAAAAACAATGACTATCCATTAACACATCCAAAAAGGTGGCGTTTCGCGATTGACTATCGTAAATTAAACTCCATGACTAAATATACGGTATATCCGTTACCTATTATTGAAGAAATTCTAAGGAACATAACGTCTACCAAATACATGACGACTTTAGACTTAACGACTGGTTATTTTCAAATAGGGGTTAGACCGGAGGACGTGCCTAAGACTGCTTTTATAACCAAGTCTGGCACTTATGCATTCCTGCGTATGCCGTTTGGCCTTTCAGGGGCACCGGCAACATTTCAGCGATGTATGGACATTGTGCTAAGGCCTGTTCTTGGAAAGTCCACATTTATCTATTTAGACGATATCATTATTACTAGTGATAATCTGGACCAACATGTACAGGATTTAAGACAGGTGTTTTCATTATTAAATGAGGCCGGTCTAAAAGTTAATGTCGAAAAGTGCAAATTTGCAGCCCCTGAATTAAAATACTTAGGTTACAAAATATCTCAGAAAGGAATCGAGACAGACGAATCAAAAATAATCGCTGTGCAAAAGTATCCGCCGCCAAATACGGCGAAGAAGCTCTCTTCTTTTCTAGGACTTTGTTCATATTATAGGTCCTTTATAAAAGATTTTGCAGCTATTGCTGAACCATTGTTAAAATTAAAAAGGAAAAAGGCAAGATTCTCGTGGACGGCCGAAGCCAATAGTGCTTTCGAAAAATTAAAGCAAGCATTAACGCAAGCCCCTGTGTTTGAAATTTCCTGAAAAGGATGAGAATTTAGAAATTTCAGCGGATGCTTCGGATTATGCGGTAGGAGCGGTACTTTCGCAAAATCAGCAGCCCGTGGCATTTTTTAGTCGAACTTTAAATCAAACACAAAGAAATTATTCCGCGACCGAGAGAGAGGCACTTGCAGTTCTGTTAGCAGTGCAAAAGTTCCGAGTCTATTTTGGAAGGGCGCCAATAACAGTGTATTCTGATCATGCGGCGGTAACTAGATTGTACTCAGGGAAAAACTTATCCCCAAGGTTAATAAGATGGGCACTCAAGCTTACAAGAGTATAATCTGGTAATCAAGCACACCCCCGGAAAGGAAAATATCGTAGCAGATGCCCTATCCAGAATAAAAATAGATGAAGAAGGTAATACTGTAAAGGTGGCAATGCTCACAGCATGTACAATAAATTCCCGAGAAACTGTAATAACCGAACTGGGTAAGGATCCTGAGTTTGGAAACATTTATGAGTATTTAAAGGATCCTGAAAATTTTAGCCACCAAGATATTGTGGCGATAAGAAATAGGGCGGCCCATTACGAACTAATAGATGGTCTATTATTTTATACAAAAACTACAAATTCCAACAACGAATTTCGACCTGTTATCCCAGCTAGTCTTAGATTAAATATCCTGCAGGAGTTACACGACAGCCCTTTAGCTTCTCATGCTGGTATTCGAAAAACTATCCAACGCGTACGTGAAGGCAGTCTATTTTCCTGAACTGCAAAAGTTAACAAGGGCGTATGTCCAGTCCTGCCCAACATGTCAAGCAGTTAATTATATTAATTTCCGCCCGGCCGGGTTTCTAAATAGTATTAAATCCGAATTTCCAAATGAAATAATTGGCATCGATTTATTGGGCCCTTTCCCAAAAAGTCAGTTAAATAAAAGTCGCTATCTCCTTGTTATGGTTGATCATTTTAGTAAGTGGACCGAAATTGTTCCCTTAAAACGAGCCTCCGCGAAATTAGTTACTGATTCTATTTTAAATAAATATATTTTAAAATACGGGGCGCCCCTAAAAGTTATATCGGATAATGGTCCTCAATTTGTAAGTAATATATTTGAAGACATGTGCCAAAAACTGGGCATACGTCATTTAAAAATGGTCCCGTATCGGCCGCAATCAAATATAGCGGAACGGGTCAATAGAAATATAGTGAAAATTATCCGTAGTTATGTTAAAAATTTTCATAAAAGCTGGGATAACTATGTCAATGAATTAGCTTTCGCCCTTAGGACCGCAAAACATGATACAACGGGCAAAACTCCTGCTGAGTTATTTTTAGGCAGAAAGATTATAACGCCGTTAGATAAATTATTTTATGTTCAACAAAGAGCCCCAGAATTTAAAATGGGTGATATAGAAAAATTAATTAAAGAAGCAAAAAGAAACACTGAAGTAGCACAGAGAAAACAGAAGCTTTATTATGATATGAAACGACGGGGAGTAACTTATAAAGTAGGAGATGAAGTATTAAAAATTAAGCATTCACTTTCTTCAGCACCAGAAGATAAAACTGCGCCAAATTTTTTCCACGATTTGAAGGACCATATGTCATAGAAAAAATAACTCACGCTGTAGTGGTGTTAAAAGCCAGGAATGGTGAAACATGCTCCGCAAACATTGACCAGATAAAACCATTACTATGACCGTAATAAAATGCAAATATTTAAAGATCTTTTGCAGGATCCGGCACGGCAGGCACAAGCTCCAGAGGTGGAACAACGACAAGCACAAGGGCAAGCCATTAGGAGGCAGGAGCAATTGAAAAGAAAGTTTCCCCGTTGGAAAATTGAAGGTAACAAGAAAAAGAAGCCGTTCCACCGACCAGAAAAGAGAGCGCACGACCACCCCCAGAATGAAGAAGGGAGAAGTACGACGAATGCAAAGAGAGCCAGGAGAAATAACGGCAACTATAACCCGGCTCCCAAACGGAAGATCTACTCATCGGACAGGACTCTACGCAGCAAATGTCGACGAATTGCGGAAGGAACACCAGCGGCGGAGGAAAAGATACAAGGAAAATTTGAACGGCCAGCAACGAGATCCAAGCAGGAACGAGAGAGAAGTGTCCCGGTTCCGCCAAGACCAGCTGCCATCAAACGGCCAAGACCACAGGCAGAGGCGAAAAAGAAGGTCTTCAAGGGTGACCGAACTGGAGGGAAAAGAAAGCTCCTAGAGGAAGGAACTGAAGGGCGAGCCCGCACAAGAAGGAAGATAAATCAAACACGAATCTTCGCTACCTTCCAGGACTGGGCAGAGAAAAGAATGTCCGAATATCACAAAGATAAGTAAAACTTTATGTTACTTTGCAAACTTAAGTTAATCTTTCATTCTTACTGCAAGTGGCAGATTTCAAGACGTTTTACCTCATGTGAGGTCTACCTTTATCGCCAAAAAGGCGAGAAATGAGTTGTTACCTATTTTGGTATTATGTTTTTCAATTACTCGCGAGTAAAACTAAAATTAATGTATAATAGGAATGTGTAAATACTTGAATATTGTAAAAGTTATTGTATAAAATTTTATTTAAAAGATTCTGGCAAGAAAGAAGTTTTAGTCTGAAAGACTTTTGAAATGTAGTATTTCAATGTAGAAGAATTGGCACTTGCTTGGAAAAGAATAGAAGTTAACAATGTACTACTAATGTATGTTTTAAAATGCGTAAAATTAACGGCATGTTAATATGTTCTTATATACAATGTGAACTGTTATTTTAAATGTTAAGAAATACTGTGATATGGTAAAAGTGAAAGTAATGCCAAAAATTTTAAACTTATTCGTGTGACTGTAAAAAGACCAAATTATTGTGAATATGTGTTAAAGGTTGAATGAATGTAGTTAGGCTCTCTGACGCTACACTTCAGAGTTAGCCACTTTCAGAATAGTACCTCAGGGTTTAGAGATGAAGATAAGGTGTGTTATGAGGTCTTGTTATGTTGAATTTTAACACGTTAGTGTTTTGATTGTAGGCGGTAGTGTTGAACACTTGTACATAAACACATTCGTGTTTGGTGTTTTTTTTTACAACACATGTCACAGAGCACGGTGAGAGATAATTAAATAAAGTCATGAATGAAATAAGAATGTTAAGAGAAATATAAATATTCATGTGACTTGCCATTTAATTGTGTAACATTTCATTAAACTAGTTTTCCCTCCAGATCTCTGGAAGGAACCAGATTTCAACTAAAAGCTCCTGTTTAGATGCAGTACAGATGAAAAGTAATTGTCCATGGAGCTGATAATGTAAAAACAATTTTTTTTTTAAATTTCTAGTTTCTAGTGAGAAATGTTTGTAAAAGATTGGCCTCGCGTTAGATTCTAGAGCTAAAAGTTTTCAACAAGGTCGTTTTAGACCTCAGTTTCAAACTAATTAACTCTGGCGGGAAGTATGTAAGGATCTTAAGTTTTACTAACGTTTATTTTATTTTAAATCTTTACTATCACTTCTTATTTTCTACTTCCGGCCAGAATTAAAAGCTTTAACTTATTTATGCAAATTTGTCTGGCGAACGCCAAGTACTTAAGTTGTGGCTTTTTGCCAAGCAAGAGAGAGGAAGGAGTTAGTCGAAGCAGGCCGCTTGCCTTAGCAGTTTTACTCGGTTGCTGGTTGCCTTCCAGGCCAGAGGTTTAATCCTCTTGATAATTTTAAACGTATTGTAGTGTTAACAGTTCTCTGTACTACATACGGCTTTCCTGTTAATATACGGCCAATCTTCCACGTAGGCCCTTGTTTATTATTCCAAAGTTAAGTTAGAGTTTAGTTAATATTTTTATATTCTTACGTTCAGACCACAAGTGGTTGGTCTCTGTATTCCGAAGTCCGGAAATCATTGTAAAGAGTGAAAAATAAAGGGTTTCGTATACCCTTCCTGTGTATCTTGTCTACTTCCCACATTTATTGAACATAGCTTTAGTAAGCTCCCTGTTCCGAGTCAGGTCTTTGAATGTTCCCAAAACAAGTAAGGCGGAACACTGAACCTGATAACCTCATATACTGACATTCGGTATTAGTCAGTGTGTAAAGCATACATCAGTTCCTTCATTTGTGTTTCTTAATAAGGAATAATTTCTTTCATTTAATGAATAGTATACTATTTAAAATAGTAAGCTAATTTAAAAAGTTAGTATGGCTTATTACAATGACACTGTATAAACAATCATATCCATTAAAATGTATTTAGTTCATTTGAAATGACCCATATTAACATCATCATTATACTATAGGTGTTAATTAATTTTTCAGAAAAAAGCTGATTTGGATCCCATATTCGTACATATCATTGGCCACAGTCTTGGTGCACATGCCTCAGGATACGCTGGTAAATGGTTTCGAAGGAAAGAGAAAACTTTAGTTTCGCGAATTTCAGGTAATTTTAAAGATACTATTTATTATCAATTATCGCAGCATACTGTACGTCATGTGTGTTATGTTCTAATTATATTGTCGAGATGTTATTTATCAGGACACTAGTACATATTAATAAAACTTTCAATGTGGTACAGAACCAAAATTAGGATAATTAAAATTTATTACTGGCACTTAAATATGAAAAACCTATCAGCTATAACTACTGACTGATTTGATACACAATTTCACTGATAAATATATTCATATATTAAGTCTTTAATGTATAACAAGTATACAGACTAACTGCTAATGACAGCTTGATATATAGAATTTATTAGCACATGACTACAAATTTTGTTTTTAGCTATAGCAGGTGGTTAGAAATATTTCTAGATAACCATTTGCAAAGCTAAAACTTCTTAAGTGAGGAAGAGAAACTTATTAACACAGTTTCAGTAAAATGTATAAGGGGTTACATAAAAACTTATAAATTTTTTGTCAGGTTGTAAGTAAAATCATTTGTCATTTCCAAAACTGGCAGAGACTTCAATTTCACCTCAATATTGCATTCCACCCTAGGATTTCATTTTCCTTCCAAAAAATAAATTCTTATTAATAAATTAGACCTCATTAACTATACACAATTAAACACCCAATCTGCTTTAATGGAATGCAAAAATTATTGTTTTTTATAAAACTAAAATCAATATTTCGCATAAATATGAATAAATTAAAAACCCTTGTAATTCTTAAACTAAACTGAAAAACAACAAATCGATCTATGAATAAAGAAAAAAAAATTAAAATTGATAAATACTGAGAAATTAGGAACAAAGGAAAATTAATTTATTTTAAATCAAAACAAAATTTAGTAACACGAAATGAATTGAGGGTTTCAAGCTTGGGGAATTCATTTGGCCTGAGAAAATGGGTTTAGGAATCAAGCCATATTTTTAAATTAAAGGAAGCAAATCAAGAGAATTTTCAGAAAGACAGGAATAATTTATTAGCATTATTAACAATTTTAATTCAAGATTTGAGGAAACTTTAATAAAAGATTGGATTTTAAAGCATTATACAAAGTTAAAATGTAAATCACTTATTTTAATTCATGACTGCAAAATTTAACCATTGATTGAAGTGGCAAGGTAATATTAAAGGAAATTTCTAAGGGAATGGGGGGGGTTAAATAAATTATATTTCCCACGTCGGTTGGCGGACCTAGGCAAGACTATTCGTAAGCCTAACAGCTTTAAGGTGTCAACGATAAAAGCCTGAAATGGGGTAGTCAAGCCTCCAAATTTGGGCAATATTTAAAGGGGGGTACAACACTGTTAAGCATCCTGTTTGGGTATAGTGTCAACTATTTATAATTTGAACATAGGATGAAGGTTGGGAAAAAACGGGGATCCCTGGAACGTTGCAAAATAAATCTTACTTTTAAGATTAATTAAGTGGGGCAAATATTTAATCGCACTGTTATTTTGCACGCAAAATGATTGAAGTTTCATTTTGTAAACAGCCTATGGAACGTAAAAAAATATTTTATAATCAAATATACAGTTGAATGGGAAATATAGGAGTTTTTGACAAAGAAAAAAAATATATGTTAACTATTTAGTAATATTGAGCACATCGAATGTGAGACCTTTTAATTTCTTTCAGAAGGCCCACCAGAGGCCCACCAGAGGCTGAGCGGTAAAGTCGTTGAGCACTGGTAGTTTGGTCTGAAGTTCGAATACCTCGAACGGGCTAGCTGAATGGGAGGTTTCGTGGTTTTGCCAATGACTAACGTGCATACGAAGCCACTTTTCCTTAGAAAGTGCTCCACGAAAGCATCCCTAAACTAAGGCAATTAGCCCTCAAGACTTTGCCTTATCCACATAAACCAGACACAGGGTAAAAAGGATGCTTTAATGGTTGTAATAAGGCACAATGTTTTAAGAAAATTCCTCATTACATATTTTAATCGTTAAACTCACATTTCGGAAAAAAAGTTATTTTCTACATTCTCTATTTAAAAAAAATTAGCCATCTGTTTATATACATTCATTGCCATAAAATTTGGGCACCAAGAAATAATTGTGGGATCGTAACGAAACTTGGCATGAAGGTACATGTCTGTATATATGCAAATGAATAGAAATGCAGCGGGATTGCGCATCGCGTAATACCACTAGAGAGCGTTGAATTTCGTTCTTCTTGGATTATAGAACAGGTAAGTAGAGTATGTTTGAGTGTACTTAGTCTTTGGCTAATGAAACGCTGAGGTAGACATGCCGTTATGCCATCGTAGACATGCCATCGAAACCAATATCAGCAGCTGTCAGAGTTCATCGGGATGATGGAAGCTGGGTGGTCAGCTCAGCGAGTAGCTCGTCAGGTAGTCCGTTCTGATTTTATTGTGAGGAGGTGTTGGAAACAGTGGATAGTAGAGACTTCATTTACACGGCGACAAGGCTCAGGACGTCCTCGACAGACAAGTCGTCCAGAAGATTGTCACATCTTACAACACGCACTCATAGAGCCAACTGTCACATTGGCCGCCATCCAGACAGAGGCACAAGCTTCACGAGCCCCTGTGGCCTCCGTTTGTAATGGTGTCGCGCACGACAGGATTGGATTTTAACGGAATGGAACCAGGTCGTCTTCAGCGACGAATCTAGATTTAATTTGACCAGTGATGACAATCATGTTCGTGTGTGGAGGCCCCGTGGCGAACGCCTCAATTCTGCCTTCGCTTTACAGCGACATACCGTTCCTTCAGTTGGTGTGATGGTATGGGGTACCATTGCTTACGATACACTGTCATCCCTAATATTGATACATTAACAATGACAGGCCAACGGTACGTCCATGACATCCCTCAGCCACATGTGTTGCCACTCATGGCAGGGCTCCCAGGAGCCTGTTTTCAACAAGACAATGCTCGGCCACACACAGCACGGATCACACAAGACTGCCTCCGGCACATTAACACAAACACACTTATCTGGCCTGTTCGATCCCCATATTTGTCACCAATTGAGCATATTTGGAGTTATTTGAGACGGCAAGTTGGACAGCCTACGAGATTGGCCGAACTAGAGGCGCGTTTACAGCAGGAAGTTGAGGAAATTGAGATGTTGCAGGACAACATACGGAACTTGCACTCCTCAATGCCCGTTCGTATCGCATCGTGCATTCGCGCTAGAGGTTGTCCAACAGAGTACTAAAACTTCCGTTCATGTGTATTTTTTTCTGCAATAAATTATCCTTTTTTCTTTGATTTTCTAATCACTTACTTATATCAAAGTAGTACTCACATATGTAAAATTTCGTTTCATTCTGACAACTCTTTCTTGGTGAGCAAATTTTTATGGCAATAAGTGTATTGACACTGATTGTTATATATATATATATTATATACTATTATTTATAGTATATATATAGTATATATATATATATATATATTTATTGAATGTTTTCAGTTTATTTTAGTTATATTGCGTGTTCCGAAGAGAAGAGTAAATTTTCAAGGAACCAAAGAAATTTTGTCACAGTCATCTTTATGTATCTTTCAGTCGCTGATTTGAACAAAAAGAGTAAGCAATGAATTGCAAGTAACTGAAGAAAAACATTACTAACATATTTCCAAATTAAACAGCCGTACATTACGATTCCCAGTCATTATGAAATGCATGACTTTCTGTCGTAAGAAGCATTTTATACGAGCAATGTCAAGCTTTTGTTTCATTAGTATGTAACTTATTAAAATTATTTAAATCAGATACTGCGCACTTTTATTTCTGTTTACCAAATAAATCTTCATACGTGCTTTATATTTTTTTAAAAATTTTATTTAAGCACAACGTATTAAATTACAAATTAATTATTAAATTACGAATGCATATATACAGCTTATAATCGCAAAAGACTTTCCGACAGATCTGAAATTCATTTCATATAATGATTAAAAAAAAAAAAAAAAAAAAAAAAAAAACATGTTTTCATTCGGTGTCTGCTTTCTCCTCATGGATTTCTGACGATGTAAATGAACTGCTAATAAATCTTAAAGTTTTTACGCAAATTGTAAGTCATAAGTAAAAGTAATTATCGTTGATGTCACTGAAAGACTCTAAAATACTTAGTGCAATATTCATTGCTTTAAATTTTTTAACCTTGGACATATTTGCAATGAAATTACTCGAAACAACATCATGAAATCAGCTTTATCGATGATCGAATAAAAGTACTTTCAAAAATTTTGATGTCAGTTTTCAAGATAATTATATACGTTTCATTCTAGACAAAAATTTAAAAATATGTCAATTACGCTTTTTAACGATTCTAATTTGCGAACAAATAAACCATATATTACATATTTACTTATGTGAATTATGTACTATAACAAATTTACTTACATATATTGCATATATTATATATATTTGTATTGTGCTACATTTATTAGTGAAGACTGTACTGTGAAATCTAAAATAAATGCATTTAAGCATTTTGAATTTGCTTGAATTATACAATACTTTTACGTTTGCTTTTTCTAGGACTGGATCCAGCGGGCCCATATTTCAATGGCGTTCATAAAGATGTAAGACTAGACAAAGGGGACGCAGATTTTGTTGACGTCATTCACACAAACTTGGCAGGCAATCGCTTCTCAGGTATGTACAGTTATCAAATGACTCTCAAATTGTATTTCTATGAATAAATAGGCAGTCCGGTGTAGGGTACTGGTTATCCGGTACAAAATTTATTTATCTTTTTTTCGTATCAAGTGGTTTTACAACTCGGCTATTTGCCAACTCAGCAAATTGCCATTCCATGCGGCTTAAGATTATTAAGTCCCTTTTCACACTATATTTCCTACAGATATTGAGAAATAATAAATAATATGCAGATCCATGAAATAATTGTTCATGTTTATTGTATCAATGCAATTAAGGAAAAAACAGATGTTCCTAATGTAACTTGTTATGTACTTTGGCTATACAAATTATGCTATGATCTATTATATACCCATACCTCCACAGATTCCACCACTTAATAAAAAATATTACCGTAACTTCAAAGTGTGTAAAAAAAGTCAAGAGTTATGACTACTTTTATTACCATTTCAGTAGGAATATACATCCACTGTTGCTTTTTAAAACGATCTGGTCTGTTTGGTGGCTTAATGAGCCAGGTACTATATCAATGGGTCCGGATTCGAATAAAAAAGAAGGCATAAGTGCTTATTTTAAGATCTTCCGTTGTATTATGACCTATTAACCTGTAAATTCTAATGAAATAGAAGAATTTGTATTTTTATGAGCTATAATATGGCAGACAGGCAAACTACATGAGCATATATAACACAAATATTGATTTTTAATATTTCCTTCTTTTTCATGAAATATATATGTCAACATCTTATAGGATAGTCCTGACAAGTAGCACATACATACGTCTCACTAACCAGAGGCTTCACTAAAAGTTTTGTCACTTCATACAAAGTTTATCAATTCCGAAAGTATCCGGAGAGTAGTCCCCCTAAACAGTAGCATCCGAAGCATCTCAGGAGATAATCCTTGAATGGACTCCGTAGACTGAAACATAACATACCGATCCTCACAGTATTATCGCAGTCGAAGATAGAGACTCTTATTGCAAATACGTTCTTTTCTGTCATCATGTACTAAATAACAATCTCGAACAGCATATCAACGCACACTAAATAACAAGTCTATTCAAATTATCAAGATTCGTTCATTCATTCATCGTTTAAAAATCCTTTCTCGTTCTTCTTAATAAACAACGTTCGTCTTCTCTCCTTCCATTGCACTATCTGGAAAGTATCCAGCACACTTTAAACAACAATTTTATTCAATTGATCTTCATACACGACGTCGATAGATCTTCAGAAAAAAATTTCGTACATTCTTCCAGATCATCACAGCACTACTTCTGGCTTTCTTTTTCATCCTTCCATAACTTTCTATCTCATTTATCATTCGCTTTACTTCTTTCCCCATCTTCTTGATTTCACCCAAACTCTTATGGAATACCTCAGTTAGCTTTCTCCTTCTTTTATTTTTGCAATCCCGCTAGGGGTCGGTAAAATCATTTTCAGAAACTACAATCTTCAAAGTCATGGCAATCTCTAAGGAAATAACTGCTGAATAAGATGCTGTAAACTGGAAGCTAGATACACATCGTCAGGGAGGAAATACATTGTATCAGATAAATCAGTTCTTAAGAAATAATAAGATAGCCTGTCAGCAGTTTACTTCTTTATCAGTTCCAACATCAATTAAAACCGTAGAATTACGCCTTACTTAATTAGGGCATATTTTTCAAAGCTACTGCCTTTCTAATCTCCAACAACGAATTAATTTTTTTATATTTTTTAACTTTCTCTAATTTTAGACTTCCTAGCTTTTTCAACCATCACGCTCAAAGGGAAATTTTTTTTCCTAATAACGTCGTTTCTTTTGCACTGAGTCCCCAATGGCTTTAAAACGATTTGGCAGGGGATAAAAGAGAGAGAGAGTGAGGGGGGAATCTTTTATTAATGTTTTAGTGCCTTTCACAACAAAATTACTCGCTTTTTCTTTCATGATATTTACTCAAACAATGAGTGTTATCCCTGAAGTCAGATTGCTACATAACTCTTAACTCGTATCACACCGGCGTTATAACAGAGTACTTGCGTTGTAACAGAGTAGAGCTATAATATCGGGGTTATACCGCAGGTGCTCCTGTTAAGCACCTGGACAGTACCTTTGGTGATAACGCAGTTAATAACTGATGTACTCAATCGTAATTGGTAGAGAACGCTTAATCAACAAGTTTTCAGATGTTAGTGTAAAACATATTTCTGTAAAATTTATAATGATCGTTCTCGAAAGTTAATTTACTGGATATTATTCTTAAAGTCTAAATTTGCTTTTTGATTAAATTTTCTCACAATTCTGTTACTAAAATTATATGTTATAAGGTATTTTCTTCCCCTTTTTTGTATGCCTTCGTGGTGTAACAGTAGCACACTAGGCGTGAATTCGAGAGGTCAAGGTTCGAGTCCCGGTGAAAGAATTGCTCATTTTTCATGTTTCCTACTTCAAATACCCTAATTACTCTACAATGTAAGTTTTAAAATCTATTGTAAATATATATTTTCCTGCAATTTAAATAAGTGCAATAAAGACAGCATTTCTAACGCTATTTCCTGTATAATTTAGTGCGCATTTTGTATATTGAGTGAAATATACATGAGGTTTTCTTGACACTTTCCCAAGCCTATTTTAAACATAAAATAGAGATTTTGAGACCTATTACTCAATACAGTTAGTATCTTAGTGTTTCTTGTTCAAAATTCTGCTAATTTATTGATTCTTGAAAATATGAAAGAAATAAGAAATAAAAGTAACGTATATTTCTTTGATTTCTCCCAAACAGTAAGTATTACTGCTAATAGAAGTATAAAATACAATGATTTGTATAAGAAAAAAGTAACCGTTAAGTGTAGTAATTTTTTTTTTTTTTCATTTTTAGCAAACACACAATATAAGGCAATGAAGAGTTTTGATATGTCAACATACGGAACAGAAGTTCAATTTTAGTTTCGTTCCAGAAGTGTAGTAGTGTGAAAATAGCTTTCAAATTTTTCCTCTACGTCTTATTATAAAAACAATGTAGAAAACATACGAAACAGTATTGAAAAGTTGAACGTAATACCATAAAAATACGGTTAAAAACAGCTCTAAAGCTTACTAAGTGGTAAGACCACTGCATCCTATTAGTTCGCCCTGGTACAAGCCCCAGAGAAATTGTCTGTTGCATAAATGATTTTTAAATATTTAACACCTAGCTATACTTTTAAGACCTAGCTATAAGACTAGCTATGATTTTTATATATTAAGACCTAGCTAATGTTTTTAGAATCCAGATAACTAATTACATATGCTAAGCTCTTTCATGTGTTTGTAAACATGGTTTTAACCACGTGTAACATGGACGATATGATGTACAAGATATACCTTGAAAATCAACCACAAAGGCATCCCTATCCTTAGGCAGATAGCTTTGCCATTTTCCAAATAATACAATCTAAACGTCGCCTTAAATAGCGAATAAAATAATAATAGCGCCTTAAATAGCGAAAGAGTAGAAGAAAATCTATTTTCGTAGTTCAACTTATTATATTATATAAGAGCATACTAGAGTTATCTCTTATAAGAGAGGGATGCTTTCGTCGATAGCGTTTCGGGGAAGAATGGCTACTGAGAAAAACTATGAAATTCTTATGTAGTATTTCTGGTCTCAGGGGTTTTGTGGACAGTTAACTGCGGATTCCTTGACAGTAAACGGGTCGGCAAAATATGGGCTTAATTACGAGTTAAATGGTAAAGAATAGGATTCTTTCACTTTCCATGTATGTTTTAATTACAATGAAATTTTTTCGCTTTCCCTAATGAGATCTAGGGCACTCTGTAGGAACGGCGTTTTGGTAAAGGGAAAGGTTAAGATTGTTTAATGTATTAAATATTATTCAGAAGTTTAAGATAAAACTTTTATTTGCATATGGTGACTTTGATACGTTATTGGGGAACGTAGGAATATGCATTAAAAATAATTAATTTTGTAGCTATGATATGTGTTTATTTAGGAAAAAGGGTTTGTCCACGACAGGTCCAGTTAATGAATTGCAAATAGAAATATGTAAATCGAACCTCGGTTATTTCCTGTTAATGCAATATTTGTACTAATTGTCAAAATGTTCATTAGGAATTACGATTATAAATTTTTAGTTCTCTTAGGTTTGCATGTGATTATTTGGCACTAAAATTTCGACTCAAGAAAACAATTATGAAGCCAGCCCCTTCACCGAAGTTGAACTATCAGTATTCAGCGGTTCTATCTGCTCGGCCGCTTGCGGCTTTTAATTCTTTGAAGTTTCTTGTAATTCTGACTTTAAGGTAGATAATAACTCACTTCCTTTGTGATGCAATCAAATTACATAATGTCTTCACTTTTGCGTGGTAATGATTCCAACTCTTAAATAACACACACAATGTTAGAAAACAATAATTTCCTTTTTTAGTTCATGTGTTTCTGCAGTTATAAATGATATTTTAAATAAACAAGAAACTCACTTGATTATAAATATATCGAAATTTAATTATAATGTATTATAATGCATTTGTTCCTTCTCTTCTTTAGGGTATGGATTAGAAGAAGCAATAGGACATGTAGATTTTTACCCCAATGGTGGCGAAGATCAACCCGGGTGCAAATCAGCTTCGGAGGCTACAGGTGGAATTATTCTTGAAGCTGCGAGTTACCTTAATTTATGGAGTCTGGCATATAAATATTACAGCAGAGGAACCCTTGCTCCACCAGGTAATGAAAAAGCCCTTTTGTCTAGTGTAAATTATGTTTCTATGTATTTCTGAACATTCATGTGTTGAAACCAAGAAATGTACGTATTAATTTCCACGTTATATAAAATAAATATTTTATCATTTATATTTCCATTTTTCCGGATAAAATACTAGAAATATTCTAGAACTGCTATGAGACAACAGAGTTGGTTATATCGAAATAATGTGCTTTCTGATTTTTATGCAATAAAGAGTTAGAATTGCAGCTACCTATCTATCATTGGCTAATCCGTAAGCCTTCATTTGCAAGAAAAAAAAATTCTCATTGATTGCATGTTTCAACTGATTTACATTTTTTTTCATTTTGTTGTTTGTTATTGTAAGAGATGCTTCAAAAAGACTGCACAACCATAGTTTTTTTTATTTCATAGGAGGAAAACAATCCATAATAGAAAATTCGGTCCTAAAAATTACAAAAATTTCAGCGTACAAAAGTTGATTTAGTTTAGAAATCCTATTAAATTTTATTTCATTAAATGCAAAGTTTTGTAAATTCACATATTTACAAACTGCAGTTTAAAATTAATTCATCTAAGTGAATAATTATTAACATCAACTATAGCCTCAAAAATTTATATGAAAGAGCTTAGCATATGTAATTTTTATCTGGATTCTAAAAATATTAACTAAGTATAGCAACGTCTTAAATATATAAAAATCATTTATTAAGTTCCTGTAATTCGTTTCCATAAAATACTTTTCGTGATATAAGTATCGTACGTTTTTTACCGAAATATAATATGGGATCAAAATTTCTAAATCTGAAAAGCCTAGCTTCACTGATTCATTTCTTAATCTGTAAATATTCGTTTACATTACAAGGTATTTTCTTCCTGCTTCCAGCCATGCCTTTGTTTGAAGCGTATTCAAGGAGTCTAGGGTTCGAGTTTCGACGAGAGCACTGCTCATTTTTCACGTTTTCAGCATTAAAAAAATTATGACTTTACAATGGCGCCCTAATAAATGATGGTGGACAATAATTCGTCGTACATTTGGCGATTGTACACCCCTAACCTCCACTCGTCCTTAAGAGAAGCATGTAAGGTATTTTCCCTTTCCATCCAGCATGCCTTCATGGTTTAACCGTAGTACACTCGCGTATTCGAGAGTTTCAAGTTCGAGTGTCGGCGAGGGCAAACAAAAAATCTAATGACTCTACAACCTTCAACTATCCAAAAACAGTTACTCGTGAAATTGCTGTGGAAGTCTCTGTATACTACTAAAGATGCTGAATCTTCAACCTGTGTTTGAAATAAATGACTCTTATTTCAATGTAAATCATTATTTACAAATCCAATGTTATTTAGGATTGCAGTTTATCTGAAGAAAAATCATTTCCTCATATATTGTAAGGTATTTTCTCCCTCCTTCCAGCATGCCTTAGTGATGTAACGGTTAGAACACTCGACGCGTATTCGAGAGGTCCAGTTTCGAATGCCGGCAAGGGCACTGACCATTGGATGTTCTCCTGCTTCAAAAATAGAAATCATTCTGTAGTGGCGCACGAACTAAAAGGTGGTGGATGATGATTCTTCACAACCAGAAATTGGCGATTCTCCTAATCTCCATTCGCCCTTTAAAAGTGAGAATACGTAAGGTCCCGCTGGGACAAGGCGGATTGGGTCTCCCTCGAATAGTTCACGTAAGGTATTTTTTCCTTTCTTCCACCACGCCTTTGTGGTGTTAGCACACTCGGCGCGTATTCGAGAGGTCCAGGTTCGAGTCTCGGCGAGGGCGTTGCTCATTTTCCATGTCTCTTGCTTCAAAATAGCCTAATGACTCTACACCATTAAACAGTTACTTTCAGTAGTGGAGCCCAAAAATTATATTCAAAACATTTTTGTTGCCAGTTGAAAATAAGAGAAAAACTATGAAATGAAATGCTAACCTTTTGAGTTCATTAATTTAATTAAAGCAAAACGCAGTAGTTACCTGTTAAATGAAGTTTGTTATCGAGGGAATTTTGAAAGGAAATGGTTCAAAAAGATCTAGAAAATCCACATTGCAGTAGAAAGCAAATCTAACACGCGTCATAAAACAGGTTAACATTAGCATAATATTCTACGTTTATATGGGAAATAGTGGCATGGAAGAGCTGAAATATATTAAGTTTATGCTGAGCAAAATTGATTACTTAAGCAGTTTAAAGCGAAATATAACGTAGGATACAGATAAGCTCAGGGTGAACTACGATATAACTTCCAACAGTGTGATGTTTATTATTTCCCTATAGTAAAGATACAAAAATTTATACTGAAAGTATAACATTCTAGCTGTAATATAATGCATGGAGACTTCTGTTGTTGTCTTGTGCGATGAGTCAAATAGGATCGATCTAGAACAGCCGCAGCAACATTAATAATCTTCGACGAATAGAGGATTTGGTGCGAGGGAGTTATATCTATACTAAAGAGCTTGGCCAAAATAGCAGGACAATCGAAGAGATGGTCTGGAGAAAGTTGGATATCATTACAGTGAAGACAGCTATTATAATTTCGCTGGCCCTCAGAGGATATCGTCATTCCTTTGAAACGTTTTGGCCTTAATCTGGCTAGTGGAAATGACACGGTTACAATTTAGGGCAGGGATGGAATTCTTCTTGATTGATTGGGAGGTAGGTCTCCGGCTGGCTATCGCGTCAGCATCGGGAAGGGTTAAGCGTATAAGGTATTTCTATAGCCATCCTAGCATGCCTTCGTGCTGTGGTGGTCTGCACGCTGGGCGCGTATTCCAGAGGCCCGTGGTTCGATTCCCGGGAAAGGCGTGTTCATTTTTCATCTTGCCTGCTTCCAAAAATACCTAATGTCTCTACAGTGGCGCCAGAATTAAAAGAGTGGTGGATGATGAATCTCCACACCCAGGATTTGACGATTGGGGTCCCTGAAAAACCCCAGTCGCCCTTTAAAAAGGGGATATATAAGGTATTGCTCCTGCCTTCCTAGCATGCCTTTGTGGTGTGGTGGTCTGCACGCTGGGCGCGTATTCCAGAGGTCCCTGGTTCGATTCCCGGCGAAGACGTGTTCCTTTTTCATCTTGCTTACTTCCAAAAATACCTAATATCTGTACAAGCTGTTGGAAAGTTGAGAACTATTTCGGGCATCTTTGGCAAGGCCATCAGCCTCCTCATTTCAGCAGAGTTTATGCAAACTTCTAAGTGTCTAAATTGAATCCAACCAAGCATTTGTGATATTACCTGAATGCAGAATTTGATAAACAATACGGGTTCAAAGGATATGATGAAAGCTGTGTTTAGGGGAAAATGGAAAAATTTAGCACTAACGACACATCAGAAGTAGTCATATGTACGGAAAAGACGCTTTGTGAAATTTATAAAGAAAAGGATATATTACGAACTTTAACTGCTTATTGAAAGTTAAATTTTATTATATTTTAATTCTATATAAACAAAGATTGTATACTATACTGAGTGTCATTTTTAGTTATAAATGTTTTCTTTTTTCTTTTGGTAAAACGAAATATTTATCCACGTTTTTTGAGCAACAAAATTGGAAATAAAAATTGATTTCATTTTCATAAAAGCCCCTTTTATTAGTTTTTTTCATAAATATGAACATTTTGCTCCCTCTGCTTTGGCTGCCTGAGCTTTGGCATAGACTTTTAAGCCAAATATATATTGTTTTAGTCAATATGAACTAATTTAATAAGTTTAAATACAAAAGTTAATATACGATGTTTAAAAATTGGTCAAAATTTAGGGAATTCTAAAAATACCCTCATTGTATAACAGTGTATCATATTTCAGACGCGCATGGTATAAATGATATTTTTTTTAATACATTGGCGGCACTTACCTATTTAGCATTGGACACTCCTAAGTGCCAGAAATGGCGGCCATTTTATTGCTGAGGCACCTGATAGTTGCTGAGGCCACCGTTGCCTCCTATGAAGGGACGGACAGTTACAACCATACCTTCTTCGGGATTTAAACCCGGTCCCTTCAGTACCGCAGTAGCGTTTCCTAACGCTATACCAACTAGGTGAAAAGGTATAAATGATATAGTTTATCGATAAAATTTGTAAATTGATGTCAGACTAAATGTGCGACATATATGAAGTAAAATGAATAAATGATCGAAACAGTAATATATTTTATATTAGGGACATATACTGAATTTAATAAAAATAGTACGTTCAAAAACTGATAATAGTTACAGTTTGTGTACCAAACGCAAGTCTGAATGTGAAAGTAAATTAAGATTATTAAATTAATTTTAGGTAAAGCTGAGAGAATTAAAAGCAATTTACTACCTATGCACTGACTATATTTGATATTTCTTCAAAGCATAGTCTGCAAATGTAATAGAAAAGCAATCGATGTTGTTTGCTATAATAAGAAAGGTAATATGAAGTACATCCGAATATAAACAATAAAAAAGTGGAAATTATTCTGAAATATTTTAGGATGCAACTCAGTTTTACAAATTTCAAGAATTTAAATACCGCATATTCACAAATACGACGCGCCACCGAATAAGAAGCGCGCCCTATTTTTTTCGATGCACCAAAAGAGAAAAAAAATGCCCTCGAATATGGCGCCCATACTTTCATCAAGCCCACTGAAATCTTAGTTTACACCTACAGCCTTTGCAATTCCTGGTTACGTAAGTAGCAACACATGCATTTTAAGGGGAAGGAATAAGTCGGCTATCAGAATTTAATTTTACGACAGAAAGTAAAAATTACTAATCTAAGTATTCTCTATGAAATTTTATTCATTAAACAATAGTTCAGTTGGCAATAATCATTGCATTTTCAGAGTGATCTTTTAAAATTTACCGGTAATCTAGCAAAGCTAGATAATTTACCACACCGTGGCTCTTTTTCCACTTTTTTAATCTGGAAACATAATTTATAAATTGTCAATCTTCCTCGCCTTTTACACTGCTATTACTGATGATTTTTGAGCTGCCGGTATTCTCTTCTTCCTCATCATCCCACACTACACAATCCTCACTTCGATCCACATTATTTGATATTTCGCCCATTTTAAAGCTCTTAACAACAAGCTCTTGTGAATTTCTATCCCAGACGGCTTTGATCCATTCACAGATTCGAGTTATTCCGGGCTTCTTGATGTGACCAGTCGGGGTAAGTGCGTGATTTCCAGCGGCCATTCACTCCTTCTATATTCTTCTCAGTGCTGCTTTAAATAGGTGATTAATGCATACATCTAATGGCTGTTAGTGGCGGTATATCCTCTACAAATCCCCCCTAGCCAGGATTTATTATTTGAGAGGGTACAATAGCATCATGTAACGTTATATTTTCTGGGGATACAATAGCTTCAAAAGGAAATAATATATGACAACCATCTTGCGTTTACCTGGCATATATCGCTTTGTTTCGCATAAGCCGTGAAGTTTGATTTTTCCGATTAAAATAATCAAAAAATCCTGCGCGTGGTATTCGTAAACATACGGTATGTTGCCAAAACTTTTCAAGAAGTTTGCAAATTCTTCGTTTCCCCATTGAAAATTTCTCAATCTGTAGAGTTGTTTGGTTATTTTAAACCAGAAAACATCAAAAATGAACAATGTCTTTGGCGGGACTCGAACCTGGACCTCTCGAATACTCATCGAGTGTGCTGCGTTATATCACAAAGGTACGCAGAAAGGAGGGAGAAAATGCATGTAGTTACATTTCAGCATACAAATTGCTTTTCCCTCTTTTTGTACTTCAAAGTGTACATTGTGAATTTAGTGAAAATCGAAGAAGTGTTTCAGATAAAGCAATAAAGTAGTTGAAAGAAAACAACGCACAAAAACGTCCAAACTATTCTGTGTATTTACAAATACATAGTGATGAAAAATATTGTTAAATCTATATAAATAGGCAGTTAAATATATAAATAAAGTTACTATATTTGATGAGGAGTATTGCTTTCGATTTCTTAAAATTTCAAAGTCCTGCCAAGTTTTATAAATTTTTGTTATACTTCGTCTAGACATTATGAGCTTCATACAGTAATTTACTGTATTATCTAGATAGATTAAATATCTAATTTTAAGTGATAACATTGAGCTTAAGATTAGGCAGAAAGCAATCCAGTCGTCTTCCATTTGATAACTTTCATTTTATGTGACTAGGCTTAGCCCTATTTTTTTAAACCAGTTTGAAAAACGTAGCCAGTTGTTAGGCTTAAAGATCGTCAGTTCTCCACTGATTGCGAAACATTTCAAATTCAAACAGGGAACCTTGGGTATCAATGTGTACTACAGCAATCACATTCGTTAGAAGTTCGAAAATAAATAATATTTTACAGCTATCCTCAGCAGAATTTTTCAGATAAAATGTTACTTTTAAAGGCTAAAAAATGTGTGGTCAGGTAAACTATAACTTCTTTAATTACCTGTTAATTTAAGATCATTTATGTAACATTTTAAATATATTTCTATGCTTTTATTGTTTTTTTGTAGTGGAAGAGAAAATCAATGATTTATCCTGCAGCCACGGAAGATCCTATGAGTATTACATTGCCAGCGTAGAGGATCCAGATTGCAAATTCTTATCTCTGCAGTGCTACTCGTGGGAAGGTTATACAGAAGGCGCATGTGTGTCATGCAACCCAGGGATGTGCGTAAAAATGGGTTATTATGCAGACCAAAGAGGATATGGATTGGGAAAAGACAAATCTGCTAAATTCTATCTGAGGACGAAAGAAACTCCTCCTTATTGCTTGGAAAAATAAAGGAATTGCTTGAAATATTCGTGTAAAATTATTGTTTACAACTCAAGGCAATTCATTTTTAGTTATTTTGATGCGCTTAATAATATTTATGGTCTTTATATAAGTCAGAAGGCTGAAAGTAATTGTTAGGGTATCCACATATTGAATTTTAATTATGAATAAGTTTTGCAAACAATTTTGATATTTAAGCATGGTGATAAGAAGTATAAAAGTCATTATTCAAGAGCAATAATTCATATTACAATTTGTATTTACAAAATATGTCATAAAACCTTTTATGAAATTTAGAACTTTTCAACATTTTGCTCACAGGGATTTAGATAATTGTTTGAAACAAAAAGCTAATGTGTTTCATATTGAAACAAAATGCTTCTTGTTCAGTTTAACAAGTTTAATATTTTAGTAACAAAGTAGTCTCTAGTTAACACAATTAAAAAAATTGTTCCTAAAAGCAAATACGGTGAATATATGAAATAAAAATGTACGATTCATTACATTCTATATCGATTTAAATATTTTGAATCCGATACTAAACTATTTGCTGATAAAATGCGATGTATGAAGCTAAACAGGAATGAATCACGAAAAACCTATCTATCTATCTATCTATTATTAGCGTAATAATGTTGTAAACAGCACATTCCCAACAAAAGTATTTTTAAATGTATCGTAATTGTTTTTAAGAAAATCAGATTTTAAGACATTCAAAGTCGTTTTAAATGTAATAAACAAAATAGTTAATTTTAAAAAGATTCCTGAAAAATGACATTCACGTCTCCAGCGTTAAAATAACCTAATGACTCTGCAAACTAATTTCATAAGGCATGTTACGCCATTATATGTCCATTATTATTTCACTTCCTAGACAATGTGCAGAGCATTTTTTTCTTTGATTACCATATTTATCGTTATTTAACAAATCATCCTTGTATAACGAGTCATTTGTAAGCAACAATAAAACTCCCTACCGCGGTGAAATCTAAATTTAGCCACTTGCCTGTCACTGGTTTATTGCTGCAATTGTTCAGAGATTTGCCTCTGATAGAAAGTGATATGTTTTCATATTTTAATGCATTTTTGCACAATTTATCCCTCTTTTTTTTCCTTTCCATAGCAGAAATAATTTTATTGTTATTGAAACGTAGCATTACACCACATGTTACTCTTTTCATTCGAAGGAAAACACTAACTGCTGCTAGTGACAATTTTTCATGTTTTTGTTCTACTTGTTAAATTATGAATGATGTTTAGGGACAGATATGAACAATCCGAGATCCATTCCCTTGTGTCAAGTATCAGTTGAATGGTATTAGGCTTGTAAAAAGTCCGTTATTTCATCTCCATTCAAACCTTTCAACAGACCCAACTCTACACAGATGGCTCAGTTTGTAACGGGAATTTTGTTAACTATTGTAGCTGCTATTACAGGAGAAGTAATTGAAGATCCTCTAGCAGGTATTATGAGAATTTTCTTTTGAATTAAGTGCAACAAAATATTAAATTTTAAGACGTATTCTTCTTAAGTTGTTTCGTATAAATCATTTCCATTAGACAACAGCAATTTAGTATGCTTATATAAATTCCAACTATATTCTATCAGAAAAAAAAGTCAAGGGTTTACAAAACGTATAAATATCAAGCTAAATATTTGCCATTGCATAAAATATTTTACTTGGATTAAATGCCTTCGATTAGTCTACAGAATTTGCTTCTCAAACACTTCATTCTGCATTTTACACTCCGCCACTTAGCTCATATACGGTATACATAATGTCTTGCTCCAGAGAGTTTAGGATGCATGTCAGTAAAGCAAGCATAACAAAGCGAAAAATAACTCTTAGATATTCTGTTCTTAAATATGTCTGATTTTATCATTCTGATTATATTTTAAAACTGCATGCAGGTTACAAATGATATTCGCATAACATTATGGGAAAATGACTAAAATTATTTCATATTTACGCACATTTTTTATTTTAGAATTTACGCAAACTGTATCAGGAACGAAATATACTTTACTCTATATCAAGGGCTTGGGCTGATATTTTATATGTGATTTTCATATATATTATTTCAAGGCCATGCGCACATTTTTGTTAAAAATTATATAAATTTACAACAGTCATGTTAATTTTCTCTATTTATTACGGTATACATTTGTGTTACGAATTGTAGCATTCACGATGCCCGCTTTTGTGGTGAAAGTAGTTTTAAAAGTCCAGTTGGTGGCTGGAAGTTTTATAAGCTCGAATTCCACTAATAGTGTAGTTGCCTTTTCAAGCCTCTCTCTCTCAAAAGCCGTATCGTCTTTGATCCCTGATTGAACTAGCAGTTAAAATAGTTTTTTACTGGTAGTTTGAACCCAGATGAACTGGTTGGCTGTATTATTTTTCTCGTTGTTTTCCTCGTGTTTATAGTGAAAACAAGCCACTTTCCCTTAGAAAGTTCTTGACGAAATTATACCTATATTTGGCCTGATAGCCCTCATATACTTTGCCATATAAAAAAATTTAAACTAACTCAACCTAATATTTTCTACAGTGGCATTTTAACAAAAATGGAATGAATGATTCCTTATAAGCTGAATCTTCTGAACATGTGAAACTCGTCCCGTGACAGGTTATGTCCCTGTTCCAGTTGATCTATCCGAAATTGACGAAAATGACCCCAGTTCTAAACAAAAATACCTCCTCTATATTTCTAAGGCAGTATTCTCGGGGAAGTGCCCTTCAGACCTAGCAAACAGGAGTCCTGGGAAGAGGGCTAATCAAGATGGCTCACTACAACCAACAGAATTCTTCGCCTTTATATATCAACTGCCTAACCAACAGACGACTTGATGATTTTAGCCGAATATGTTATAAAAGTTAACGTGCTATCCTGGTTTGAAATAAAGAAAATCCCGAGAGCAACGAAATGTTCACGAAATAGTCAAGAAAATTTCATTCTTGCTAGAAAATGTTAAAGCAATTGTTTACGAAGTTATTCAGAGGAATTTTTATTTTGCTCAATCTGGAAACATCTTGTTGGCGGTACTAGAAAATGAACAAGCAAATATTCGTAAACTTCGCCTGAGAAGAATACTGAAAGCAAGAAAAACTGACTGGAAGAGGGAAATGCGATAATTTGTGCTCCTAAAATTAAATTTCAAAGCAGAGAAGTATTTCCAGATGATTCGCTGGAACAATCTCTTGAAAGCACCATCGCTGAGTTTTAAATCTCAGCGACGGAGATTAGAGACTTTTTTCTGTTTGAAATAAGAAAGCTCCCTTGCCATTCTCAAGTAGCAGGGAGACATATGAGAATGGTGACAAAAGTGTATAAAAGCAATCATATAAGCTGAAAAATATACACAATTTACAAACGGCCTTTGTACAGAATCCATGAGTTTTACACTTCAAATTACGGGAAGAAAAGTTTGTAAAAATTACTGTTATTTACATATATTTTCATGTTACATTTTACATAAATTATAAGAAAATCATAACTTTTCTTTCTGTGCGTAAAGTACGTGTTCATTAAGTTCCATACGGAGTCCGCTAAAAATATGTCTACATCCTTTAACAGATGAAAACTCTGAAATAAGTTTCATTCGTATATCACTAGATGAATACAGTTTACCTTCCAAGCTCTATAACTACAAGAAACTACAAGAAGTACACGAAATGGTAGCCATTGACGGTTACGTAACTTAATAGAATGGCGAAACATTGCTCGAGCAGCGCTTGGCTAGTTGATGTTGATCTTGTGAATTAAGCTTTATATTTTTTGAATAAGGTACGGCATTCTGACTAGTTTTTTGAAATACACGGCATCCGTTATCATACCTTAATAGGCAAAAATCTAAAGGTGTTAAATCAGGTGAAATCAGTGACAACTCAAATGAAATTTTTTGTCTTATCCAGTCTCCCTACCAATTCTTTTCCAAATAAGTTACAACCACTCTTCTACACGCCAATATTTTCTAGTACTCCTAACCACTGTCTCTTCGCATTATGTGGCAGATCTTAGTAGCGATCATGTGAGCCTTCCAAAACTATAGTTGATGATTACTGGAGGAGTTAAAGCAACAAGAATCAGCGTAATATTCATAAATTTGCAGGACTATTTTCGAATGTTTAAATATAGAACTTTATTCTTCAGCTGCAGATGTACAAAATTCAGCTTCTTTAGCTGCATAAGTGTGCAAAGTCATTTGCATTTATGACTCCTTTAGCAACAAAGTCACTTCATTCCACCAACATCATTTCGTTTCACTTCATTCTGCCCCAAAAGCGGGGGTTTTACCCCGGGGTGCTGTCCCTCAAACTTGAGGTGGGAATAGAAGCCCAGCCTCCCTGAGGCTCTGGCAGGGCTTCTTCTTTGAAATTCATGGACTAGACAACAACAACACCAACAACAACCGGAGGTTGTGAACCAAAACAACAAAATATTGAAAATATACAGGCTAACTGCACTGAATTACAACTAAAAATACGTTAAACACCTGCTACGTTAATCTGTACTGATAATAAAAAATAATTGAGGGACATAGAGGTTAAAAACTTCAGATACCCAAAAATAGTGATAAAAAACTAGATGGTCACTATTTTGCAACATAAAATGCCTGAAAACTAAGTAAAAATTATATTAAAAATCGCATTCAATTTAACCACCTTTCAAGATAAACCGGAACTGACGTTAAAAAATCCAAATTTTGAAGTTAAATATATCGGTTAATTTTTGTCTTTCGAGAACCTTTTGCGTTTCATTTTTTCGTAGTAAATATAAATAAATATTCACTAAATACAAAGGACGAGTTATTATGCAAAAAGTTAGAGTCCGCAGTGTTTGCAAAATTAATTGTTTAATCATAGAAATATAAAAACACAAGTATTAGCGCCACTTAAAACATTTTTATATTTAGAAGTATATGTCTGTATCAATGAATGTAATCTTTTACAATACAAATACCACGACCCGAAAATTAAGTAAAAATTATATTAATGATTGTACTGAATTTATTTTTAATGCCCTTTCAAAGACTGTTTTAGACAATTGTGTTAATATTTACACGAGATAATAGGGAAAAATTTAAGTGATATATGACATCAATTAATTAGTTTAAAATTGATAACTAAATGACACATTTTATGAAACTTGTAACCACAGTTGAGTTGAAGAAATAGGAAAATTATCCAACTATACCATTTTTAACACAGTAACAGAGACAATGACCAATAAGATTAAAATTCGTGGAAATACAGTTTAAAAAGTATTAAAGGATCAATCAAAATAATAAATGAACAATGGATACTAATATTAAGCATCTAAACGATTTTCAAAGAAAACGTTTTGAAAATTTTAAAATTTGATCTTAGTCCTTATCATATGCTTACCTTAGCATCACGTAATATGAAAAGAGCATATTTAATGCATGTGAGTGGCTTTCTTCCGAAAAATAATACCATTTTTATAAAAATTTTGTGCCACAAATTGTAATTTCTAAAACATGCTTTCATGTTTCTAAGATATGGGCATTGAGGCTTTGCGTATTGTACAAAGTAGGCGCATCACAAGTACGTCTAGGAAATAAATAATCACGTAAAAACACGAGAAAAGGCTCTTTTAATTTCAATAAGAACATTAAGTCTGTTTCGGAAGCTTAGCAATACATTAATACTTTTATTATAATGATATATGTTATTCAGGATCCATTTAAGGTTTAATGATGAAATATGTCTTTTACATTGTGTAATATTTCCAACATTTAAATTACCAAAATTACCTTTTTATTTTGTACAAGTTTGTACAAATGTTTTGAAGTTATTCAATATTTTTATACTTAGGTCAACAAATGTTATGCTCAATATTCCCTTACGTATGAGGATATTTAAGTAAAGTAGAGTGAGATCTTGAGAAGGAAATATTAAGGGTGCATCAAATTTTGCTTTAAATATCGAAGACAAAAATGCAGATTCATATTAAATGGTATTAAAGTCTGCGAAGAAAACTAAAATAGCAATAATGAGTTGCATGTAAAATGCTTTAAGAAATTCTAAATAAAGCCTTACTTGCTCCATTTACTTCATACGTTTCTTGGATATCATACTTTTAATATTTCGAAGCCATAAATGATAGTTTAGAGTTTCTGAGGCTAATAAATTTCATTATAAAATTAAATACAAACAACAATGTTTTCTCTAAGGTTTTAAGCTTTTGTTCATGTACTTTCCTTTTTTAGCCACTTCTACTCGACATGCAATAAAGAAAAGAAGTGTTGTTGATATGGGAGAGTTGGGAACATTTGATACCGATTATCCATTCAATTATCCCATATTAGAAAGATACTACAGCGTAAAACCACAGAGTAGAAAATATATTGATACAAAATTCCGATTTTTTAGCGAAATAAATAAAGATATTCCGCAATATATAATGAATGCAAACTTCTCTTCTTGGAATGTGAGACAGAGTGGTTTCTGCCATAACTTCAAGACGTATTTCATCATACACGACTATCATGGAAGGAATTCCGAATGGCCACTTGTAAGTAAAATATTTTGAAATTCACTAATTTCTCAAATATATGAATTTTATCTCATACAAGTTCTTTTGTGTGAATTGTCAATAAGAACCTACTTTTGGTGAAACCACTAGTGCTTGTACTTAAGAGTGTTCGTGAATATAAAACTTAAGAACTGATTTTCAGAAACACAGTGTCAAGGTTCCTGACAGGAGCGAGCTCTCTTGAAACTCAATTATGTCGTCAATAATTACATTGCTTTATTAAAAGAAAAGAGTTCTCCACTGTTATTAAGCTTTTGAAACATAATATTATTGGGAAATGCCCATTTGCGGTGAGATAGCTTCCCCGCAAAGCTGTGTTAGGGTTACCAGAAAGTGGTTGGAAAAGGGAAGGTTTCCAGATATGGCGCGAAATCGCCCATTTAATGATATTTGGCGAACAAATTGGACGGAGCGAGGACATTCTAGAACGCGTTCTTAGTGGTTTTCTCGAGAATATTCTTGAGGTAGGTTAAAGCTTATATGCACCCTGCTTGTCCTGGGAGAGAGTAGTGTCTTGAGTTCAGAGATTAGTTTGAGAACGATCGACCAGCTCGGGAGCTGTACTTTAGTGCTTTGCCGAGAAGCTGACTTCACAGTTATAACATGAAGTTTGTATTGCTGATTGTTTCAGCGTGTTTTTTGTAGCTTTTCATCTATAAACGTGTCTGTACTACTGTCCTGTGTAATACAGGAGAATAACTCTTGTGCTTTGATTCTTCGTCAAGTGTTATCATCAACTTCTCTAAACTCACGAACCCATAGAATGCAATAATATAATTGTTCGTAAATAGCTCCAAAAGGAAATAACAAAGATTTCGAGGATTCTTGTTTAAAAAATGTAATTTGTATTTTCAAGTAAAAATAAAGATTAGCTTATTTACCTATACATGTTACGCAAGTTACTGTGCTTCCTCATTGGTTTTTGGCTTTAGATATTTGAGTGATATTTTGCATATTTACTTACACTATCTGGTTACTAAGATACTATGTTTTTTTTGCTGGGTTTTTACTACACTGTGGTAGTACTTCCCAGTAGCAATGAGAGAACTTCCTAGAGACCTGACTTTGTGGAGAACTCAAGTGGATCCTGTAGCAGAACATCGTAAGGAGGCTGAAAAGAGAATAAAAAAGAGTTAGCTCATGTGCCCCCCTCTGGTGGCGGTGGCGGTAGTTAGAAGAAATTCAAAGTCAGGACGTGAAAAGCCGGGATCAGGAGCTGGCGAATGAGGAGGCTGCGTTGGTAGAGGAGAGCAAGGTTTTCTGATCTGCTCAGGCCGGTCACATGGGAGGTCATCTTTCCGGAAACTGACCCTAGTCGATGCTGCTTAAGTTGTTCGATCTTCTCAATTTTCTTCTGCGAATTTCATGAAAGTCATAGCTGCCGAAAAACCGACACTTAACATCTCTGAGGGACTCTTTGCAGATTTAATTCTCTCGATTAAATGGATTAATGTAGTTAGGAAGTTCTTTATTTTTCGTCTCTGAGCCAGGTCAGGATTTCGTTGACCTCTTCGGGTGGCGATTTTAATTTCTGTTTTAGTTTGTTACAGTAGGTTTGAATTTGCTGCGCCGGTTTCTGCTGGGTTAAATTTTCTGTAGTTTTCGATTCAGTAAGTGTCTGTGGGAAATTTTCCGAAGAGAAGTCTGGGATTTTCTGTACTGGAGGATTATCTGGTTAGTCGTAATGCAATTCATAAATACAAAATGGCGATCCAAAACACAAAATGCCGAGTGGAAGGAAACTATAAAACTATAGAAAATTTCTTTCAAGTGCTGGACAGTAGCAAAAATATCAAATGCAAGAAAACAAATTAAAAATTAAAAATTAGGCAAAAATCAGCCTTACCTTGACACAGATCATAAGGTGCTCTTCGATAACTGACTAGTTTATCGATAACCGATAACTAGTTTATCGATAACTGATAGCTCCTAGAATGCAGTCCTCTTTTAATTAAACTGGCCTAAAGTAAAATGCTAATCTGCTTTTAAAGTGAACATGTTTTAACTGCTACGAAGTTTCAGAAAATTTGATTACATGTTTTATAAAGAAACCTTTTAATATCTTTACACTGCACAGCTTACACACGATTATGACTTGCTTTTTTCTTGAGTATTGAAGCTTTCAGTGAACCGACTGAATTCATTCATTTATTATATCTATATGCTATACATTATTCAGACAAACCTTAGCCTGCTCGAATATTCAGAAGTATCAATAAATTATAACACTTGAAAATAATTAATTTATTTAAACTGTTAAATTTGTTTTACAGCTATTTTATTTAGTGTATTTTATGCATCATGTTTCTATTATAAATTTCAACCCATAGAAATGCATAAAAGAGGGACTCAGTTCAAAATAATCGGGTATGTATTGCTCATCTCGTACAGGTTTGTCTCGAGTTACGAAAATAATAATTTATTTAAAATTTATAAATAATCTAAATTTTCATAATTTAAGACTTTAAATTATGAAACGGCTATCTTTGCCGTTAAGTTGTGAAATACTTAACGGCAAAAATTAATACTGTCCCGTAATGATTTTTAATTTATTAGAGTACTGAATCATTAAATTATAAAAATAATGTTGCCCTTTTTGTTTCCAAAATTAAATGCCAATTAATATTTTTTCAAAGGGTTTTGTCCTCTTTCCGTCTCAGTACTAGCAGCTCATTTTCATCAATAATGCCGCATCTCAGTTATCTGACACTTTATAAACTCTGTCAGAATTTGAATTTTTTTTCTTTGTAAAATGCATTTACTGGTGCTTATTGAAAACATATTATGCTTAATCTTAGCTTTTAAAATGGAAATATATTATTCCGGACATTAGCTTCAAAACTGATAAATTATTGTTCTTGATTTTAGCTTTCAAAATAATCGTCAATGAGCCGAATGATATTCATAAAATACAAAAATTCTATTAAGCAGAATATTTTATTATTCAAATAAATATTATTCAGCCAATCATCTGTCTGTGTAATGGGGCTTGCAATTTATACGACATGAAGTTAATACAAATGGCAAGTGTTTTAGACGCTAATATTCTTGATTATGTACTGAAATACATGTGCATTGCCAGAATAATACATCATTTGGATTCCCACCTTGCATAGTATTATTTTATTTTAAATCTTTATTAATCAACAAACCTTTAGTATATTCGAATATTCTTGTCTTAAATTAAAAACTCTGATTATCCTCAGCCAAAATTAATCTAACTATTGCTTTGAATAATCAAGCACATAAGTATTGTTAAGTATTTCAAAATTCAGTCATCAATACTAAAATAAAAGCACTGATTATCACATAATTGCTTTTTATATTCAACAGCTTTTTTTGAACCAAAAAAAAAAGCTGTTGAATATTTTTAACAATCTATTTTGAATTAAAAACAGTAATCATGTCACTTATAATAAAACGTTTTAATAATCTGTGAGTTCTGCGTTAATGAAATGACATACGTGTTGGAAACTCATACGAAACATTTTACAAAAGGCTGAGTAACAAAAGCTTGGTGAAAAACAATTCATCATGAATTGTTAAATTAAAAAAATTAAAATCATTATTCTGAAATTTTTTGTATCTATGCAAATATAAAAATAGAAATTGTCTCACATTACCAGTATGACAAACAGGAATTGAATATGAATATTTTAGAATTTTTTTTCAGAATAATAAAGTAAAACTGCTATTTAGTCCTTCCAATTTATATATTTTAATATAGTACTAGTGTTGATCATTTTAAGACTTCGAGAAAATGTTCTTGTCAGAAATGTTAGCAAAATTTCTTACCTGAAGTTATATGAAAGTAAGTTGTGCAGTATTTCACAAGGCTTTTAGGTTAATCACCACGGTTAAGTACCAGTTCTTGATATACCTTATTAATAAGACCTAGTATGTTCCCCTCTGTTCTTATGTTCTTAGGTTTCGAATTCATTATCTCCAGATTTCAAAATTAAGCAGAGCAGTCAGTAACGAATGCGATGCAAACTGTTTATTCTTGCCCTTTTTCAATAACTGTACCGATATGAAGATCAGCGATGATGAAGCAGGATTTTCAGCTGCAGATCTCAGCTGTGGAACTCTGCATGACCCTTGCAAAAATGTTTTGCATAATCTTATATGTCGCTGACATTCGGTAGCAACGCAAAGATCACTCAGCAAAATTTCTTCTTCTTAGCGTCTAAGCGTTCCACTGATTAGATGGGGAAATTTCATGATCACAAATTGTAAAATAATGCTTCTGTATCAAGGTGTAGCCTATTGTAAACTTGGATTAAGAAGAGCGAGCTTCAGCATCATTTCAAACTCCGTCTAAATATTAGTATCATTGCAAACCTTTACTACTGTGTACTCTCTCAAGAGATAAAATTTTGCCAAGGAACCTATGGGAACTACGTGGCAGATTCCGTTGCTTCTTAGAACATTTACCCAGGAATAGGACCTAAAATATGTTCAAGGTTATTGAAGATAATTTTTTCTATTTTTAGATAATGAATTTTTTTTATTTTCTATTAATCAATTATAATCTATTCATATTGTGCTCAGAGTTTTTCAGTAGTCAGTAAATATTCACAGCAGTTATGTTTCTTTATTTCTTTTCATGTTAAATTAAGTAAGTGAAAATCTTAAACTGCCGTCTATTTCAAGACACTTATTCTATTTAAACAATAAAGTTCTACAATTGATTCAAAGACGTTATCGAAAGCAAATATATTATCAGTTTTTTGATAAATATCATGTAATGAATGTTTCTTTTCACAGAGGCTGAAAAATGCTTTGTTGAGCAAAACAAACTGTAACGTATTCATCGTAGATTGGGCAAATGATTACAGGCCTTGTTATGAACAAGCAGTTGCAAATATACGTGTAGTAGGAGCTGAAGTAGGACTTTTTATGAAGCGTATGGCGGTAAGTTTATATTAATTGTACCTTAATCTCATCGATAGAATTTTCCACAAAAATAATAAAGAACGAGATTTTTTTACTTTTATTTATCTATAAAATTATTAACTCATTTAGCTGAAGGTTTTGTTTTGTGGTTCCTTGTAATTCTATATTTCGCAACAAAATATGGTGCCCACATAAATGCTTCGAAATATATTACTTGGTGTGCAATCATTCAAGACAACTGTATGAGGATGAAAAGTGCTGAATATTTGACTGAACTCAAATACATAACAATCCCGATAATTACAATGCTAATAATAATGTTTCTGTATCAAAGTGCAGCCTATTGTAAAGAAAAGAAAGAAAGAAAAAAAAAAGAAAATTGTAGTTTCTTTGTAGTACTTATTAATTCATTTGAGATATCTCATCAAATATTTCATATACACTCATGTGCAAAATTAAGAGAATTTGCACATCATGCAGAAATTTAGAACTCCTAATGGGTAGATTTTTCTAAAATTTGATACAAATATTATTTATCACAGAAAGTAGTTCATATATACATGATTATCAGTAAAACTCACAGTGTAGGGATATCCAAAATCCAAGTAATGATATCAAATTTAAATTAGTCTAATACAGGGTATGGTTCCATTTTACAGCCAGACAGGTTGCGCAGCGTAAAGACGTACTGGTTAGGAGGCAGTTGATAAGTCCCTGGAACAGTCGATCCCACTCCTGCAGTAAAGCAGATTTTAGTGGTTCTCGAAAGGCACGGCATGATGAAAGTTTCTTTCCAGCAGCATCCCAGACATGCTATCTAAGCTTAAGGTCATAAGGTCAGGAGATCTGGCAAACCAATCCATGCAGCGAATATCCTGTATTTCAATCTAATCGATGATCATCTGAATCTTATGCAAACGAGCGTAGTAGTCGATTAACAGAAACTCATGACCAACTGCGCCCATAAAAGTCGAACATAGGACTGTAAGAACATAGGACTCTATACCTCACAGCAATCAGGGAAAGCCTTTGTCAAACACATACAGGAATTTGCGTCCGTCCAATCTAATGGCGGCCCAAACCATTTAACCTCCATTGCCGTAACCATTCTTTTCCTATTCTGGGAGGGAAGGTATTGTGTTTCAATATCTTTCCAGATAGATACAAGTACACCAAGAATCAGTTACCAGGATGGTATTCCGACTCATCTGTTAAAAGCACGGTGCGCCACTGAAGTCTGTCTCAAGGTGCATGTTCTGATATTCAGCCCTATCTCGTAAAGTCTTCAGGTAATACACCGTGAAATTTGAGTTCCAGTGGGAGCGTACAGCTCCCGTAAGAGCTATAAACTGTAATAGTTCTGTGTTGTCGTGATTGAATTGCCAAATAACGATCTTCATTCGTCGTTAGGGATTTTGGTCGGTCTTGCCCCGATATGGATTCAACTTCCTCAAACAGTATTCACAAATTGCAGACGACATCGGGGTTACATCAAACTCTGTAGCTTCTTACGCTTGGCATTGGTCTGCCGTCAATCTACCGAATATTCTGTATCCTATTCTGTCATCTATGCGTTCGTGGTAACTCACTATGTCTGATACCTTGTAAAGTATACCAAACTTCTGCGAGAAACCAGAAAATGGTGTGAAAGAGTACAAGCACAAAAATCACCGAAAACACCTTATGCGCCGTTTCTCCTTCATAATTACATCTCCGCAGACACATCCGTATACGTTTGAGTATTTGATTCTAAACATTTACAAAACTCTTTATATATCTTTGATATTTATAAAATATTTACAAAATGTGCAATTCCTCGCCGGAACTCGAACCTGGACCTCTCGAATAAGCGGCGAGTGTGCACCACGGAAGCATGCAGAAAGGTGGGAGAAAATACCTTATATACTCCACCTTTTAAAGGGCGATTGGTGATTAGGGGGCAAAATCGTCATATCCTATTGATGAAGAATCATCAATCACCATCTTCTTAGCTCGGGCTTCACTGTAGAGTCATTAGATTTTTTTGATGCAAGAAACGTGAAAAATATGCAATGCTCTCACCGGCACTCGAACCTGGACCTCTCGAACACACGTTGACTTTGCTACCGTTACACCACGAAGGTATGCAGAAAGGAGGGAGACACTACGTTATGAAGTTGCATTCAGGTTGTTTGATTATTATCACAAATTGCATAAAATTTCAGTTTAAGTTTCAAAACCAGGAAAATGACTACTCAAATCGTTTTGTACTTCTTATGGCACATGCATACTGAAGAGAAAAGTTAAATAAATTTAGAACGCCCTGGTATTGACAGTTGACGCTGCGCAAATTGCATGTTATTCTTAAAAGCCAGAAATTCATAATTTTACATAGTTAGCCCATTTATACAGAACACTTCTCATAACGTTATTTCCCAAATCGCAAAAACTCTTATGTTGAACTTATAATTAATATTAAATTACTAAACACTAGTGTCGTGCAACACTAAGAGAAGTCATTTTGCTTTCATGTAATTTGAATACGGTAAAGCACACGAGGGCTATTTGCCTAGGGGAAGGAATGTCTTCTTGGAGTACTTTTAGAAAGAATTGGCTCGTATTTATGTTACACAAGGTTAAAACTACAAAAATGTAGCATTCATTTGGCGCAGGTTTGAATCTTAATTCCTAAAAATATCTTTTCCTTCCTAAGGAAGGAAGCTTCCATGTATCATTTTCTGGATGGAGAAGTTTACTATACTGCTAAGCAACTCTCTTGAATAGAACCTGTAGCATCCATTGAGTGATTCTCTACTCCAGTGACTTGGCTGTTGATGGGTAGAAGGCCTTTAGAACACGTTTACTATTTTCTTACTTATGGAGTTCAGAGGTCACTTTTTAGTAATTTTGGTTACTTCAAAATTGACATTTTCAGTTAAAATATTTTGGTTCTTTTTTAGTAAATTACTCTCTGATTAAAAAATTCATTGCTTTATTAGAAGTGCATTAATATCAGTGTTTTAATATTGTTGTGACTTAAACAGTCTCATTAGTTGATAACTTTATACAATATTTTAGAATACCTGGAATTTGCATCATAAGTTGGTGCATATCATCGGTCATGGTCTTGGAGCACATGCATCGGGATATGCCGGCAAGTGGTTTCAGAATAGACAAAAGGAGGTAATTGATCGAATTACAGGTAAGTCACACAAGTTGCCTCCAAGGAATAAGGTAATATACAAAACTTTTATTTCATTGTTTTCGAATTAAACATCTCCGATTGCAAACGAGCATAATATTATACTGATTGGTTTCTTTTATGTCCGTTAGTTCCTCAGAAGCATGTAAACATAATGTGATGTGTTATAGCCATATTTATGCTTTGAATTTAGCATGCACTTCCCTTACCCATGGAAACTGTTTTATCAAAAATCATAATTTTATTTCTATAGAGAATTTACACAACATATTTTTATTGACATAATGTTTACAAATATACATGACTCCGAGCAATAATTTCTGGAAAACTAATTAAATGTACCGAGCTATTATATTGATATGTTTTCGCATTTTTAATGTTTCCTGACAAGAAAATAAAGTGACTAATTTCAAGTTATATCTAGAATTTTCACGAAAGTGAAAACTGATAAATTTTTAACTTGCTGATTTTAAAACACATTAAATTTCAACAGTACACAAGATACATCATTAAAAAGAATAATGATAACGAAAACATAATGATGATCAAGAACGAAAGTGGGACGCCATCTTTGTAACAGAGTTTCTATAAATCGACTACACAGTTTGATTATTTTTTTTCCAGCTAACGGTAAATTTCATTGTCAAGTGCAAGTTCCAGAGTTGGAAGAGAAGATGGTAACAATCTTTACTTCTCATGAGTGGCGACAGCGTTCCGGATAAGTCAGCTTCAAATTTAAGGAAGGTTAGCACGTGTGATTATGAATTGTTATCTACGATTTTCAGAACTACGTATAGTTTCAACTCAAATGGTATAGTTGACAGAAGTAACATGAAATGTAATATGAATTATGTATATTTTTAAAAATAGTATTGAACAGTATGACTAATTACAACAACTACTAGATCTTTAGTAGGATTCATGTAATTATTTCTTTCTATTTTAAATGGACTATACACTTTGCACACACAAAACATAATTGGACAGTTCTACATCTCGCGTTCTATTGGGCCGATTGACGAAATTTAACTTGCGGTTTTCATGTCTTGAAAGCGCGACTTAGGATATATAGGGGTTTTCACACAAAATGTAATTTTTCTGAAGTGACACATCGATTTTTACCATCTTAGGATTCTATGGCTCAAATTATGCCAAAGTGTTAAGTTTTGTAAAAATGACTCTATTAGTTTTTAAAAATTTAGCTCTCGAAATTTTAGCTGTTAAATGGTAATTGAATTTGGCATGTATTTATTAACATCTGCAAAAGCGTAAAGTTTGTTTATTCAAAATTTCCTAACATATAGGGGAATTTAATACTGGCGGTTTTGAAATATTGCATCTTTAAGCAATAATAATAACCCCACATCTGGTTTATAGATCTAAAAATAACAACTATGATTAAATAAATATATTATAAAGAATGAACTACGCACCATTTTGCTGTTTGTGCACTTCGATAAGGAAAGGAAAGTAAATTAATTAAATTAAAACTCTTGCGAAGTGAAATCGTGGATAACAATTCATAATCACACATGCTAACCTTCCTTAGATTTGAAGCTGACTTATCCGGAACGCTGTCGCCACTCATGAGAAGTAAAGATTGTTACCATCTTCTCTTCCAACTCTGGAACTTGCACTTGACAATGACTTGACAATGCACTTGGCGCAAACTAAAAAAAAGGTTCGCCAAGATAAAGTTTTGAATTTCTCGCTAAATTTTTCTCACCAAAATTTTACAAAATTTAATATTTACGCATAATTTGAGTCGTAGAATCGAAATATGGAAAAAAATCTATACGTCATTTCAGAAAAAGGTCCAATTTTGTACAGTGTGTACTGTGTAAGAACTCATGAAATCAATGACACTTTTAAAAAATACAAATGCATGCATATTTTGATTTTCCCCACAGGTTTGGATCCATCAGGTCCGTTTTTCAACGGTGTACAGAAAGTTGTGAGGTTAGATAAAGATGATGCTAGCTTCGTTGATGTCATACATACCAATTCAGATGGAAGTCGTTTGGTAGGTATGATAATTAATTATTTTTGAAAAATACAGAAAACTCCAGTTATCTAAAACTCCATACATCCAGCATCAAATTATCGGAATTGTGAGTTTCTTTTTCTAAGCCAAATAAAATTAAATAATTTGCTAATTTATTTACATTTTTAAATCTTTCGTTCCTTTAAATCATAATGAAATGACAATAAACCCCTTACTATTTAAGAAAAAAATTAAATGAACTCAGATGAGTATAAAAATATATAGCATAATATTGTCTGCAATGAAAATAAAAAATAAATATGATTTTGGGGTTTTTTTTAGCACTCTGATGGGGAAAAAAAATTTGTGTGTTGTTTTGTGCATTGGGCTGCTATGCAAGCAGGTTTTGCGTTTATGCATATTAAAAAAACATCCAACATTTAGTTTTTGATAAACAGCGAAAACCGTTTTGCATAATATTTTGCAGACATAATATTAAATTATTTTTGTGTACAGTTTTGTTAAAATTAAATGAAGCTGTGATAAATTTAAAGATCATTGGCAAACATTATGTGTTGTAGCTTTTTTAAGTTGTAAATTTTGGTTTATTATTTAATTTATTGCTGTTGCAGATGTATTTAAATACTTCGCAATCGACCTTTCTTCAGCAGGTTTTCATTTGTTAGAAATGATTTAACATTAGAAACAGCATGTATCTTTTTTTAAAGTAATAATCTGAGGCCCTTTTCTCGTGGAGGCTCATATGTGTTTTGCTCCTAGAGAAGAGGAAACTATATCAGGTTACCTTAGAACTCGATAAAGTTTTTCTTTCAATATTTATGACAAATTGAGACTTTTTTGACTAATTTTGAAACTCTGGCCAGATATTTCGAATAACTTCATGTTTGGTATACTACGACCGATATTCAATGGCAGATCTTACAGCATCGTTACAGCTGCATGATATTTTTCTGGAACATGTTTCACCATAATTACTTCAAGACGTTCTAATTACCGTTCATAACTGGCTGTGATTTCAGCAGCCGGATGCCAGATTATTTAAACACTGTTATACGGATTTATATGGATACCAGTTTCGGGGGGGGGGCGATGGATCAGCTGTAGTTTTCAATTCGTTAATCATTTCCTTCGGCCGATTTATCAATCCTCGAATACTTCTTCTGAGAACACCTATTGGCCTTCTTCTGCAATAAACTCATGAAGACCGTTGAGGACTCGAATATTCTTTGCGGGTACATGTACGCAAGGCATACCACTATCATTTGAAACTGTATGGTTCTCCCTCCATCAACACTGCCAAACATGCACTAGTACTGCTGGTGAAGGTACTTTTGAGCAATTATTTAAATGTTGCTGTATAAAAGTACTTGTTAACGAAACTGTAAGTAAAGCCTTATGTTCTCTTTCATGCGTTACTTATTATGTTTGCGTCTCAATTCATTGCTTAAGCACATACATTCTACGAAAGATTTTTTTTGCAGTATGTTCCATTCTCTCGCTTAATAATTATCCTGCTTGCTGTATATCACCTTGTATAAAACCTCTTATTAGTTAATCAAGTTTCATATAGTAATATTTTCTCAGATATTCGTACAGTATTACAGTATCTCACAGTAGTTATCTTTTAACTACTCAAACATTCAACAGAACTTAATTCAAAACAGCTACAGAAAGCTAATCCGCGAATTCGCTACAGTCAACAAGAGCAGTTTTCTAAACAAACTCTTAAAACAACAGCAAACTAAAAGAACAGAGGTTTTCCTCCTTTTATTAGAATTTTCTGGAATTTTTTCGAAATGCACGCGTTCTTGTATTTAATTTTCCGGCTTAGCTTTCCTTTAATATTCATCACGCGCTGGACTGCGCAGGGAATAAAACAATTTAATTTATAATTTAACTAACATTAGCTATTTAAATACCAAATCCGTAACAATATCTATAGTAATATAGTTATAATATCTATAGCAATATAGTTTTATGTACATATATATAATTTAATTCCCAATGGCCGGACATTTTGAGGTATTTCACTCTTACACACACACAGGTGTCACAGGACATGCTTATAACATTGGTGGGAAAACCTGAAGTAACTAAAGATTCACAGTTACCGATTAAATTTTTACAGCAGAAAACCTGATTTTGGAAAATTCAAATGTATACAAGCTTCAGCGCCACGTGCAAAGAATGCTATTTAACTATATTGCCAAATAATGCTATCACAATTTGCAATACAATTCAACTAACGTCTCAGCTACATCTAGCAGAATAATATGTACGATTGTTCTGAAACTCTCTAGTAGAAGGACCTGTATTTAAAACAAACAGTTTAAATGATGCCGTCTACACCGCCACTGAAATGCAAAGTGGTTGCCCTTTCAGAAAGCGGGATCTTTTCATCAATAAATCAAAGTTCATTTTAAATACTGCATTTCTATGTATATTTATCTAAAAAGAATAAAGAACGTCAAATTTTACATCCAATGACCTTGAAAGATCCATTATGTTTTGTCTGAGATGAACTCATAATAACCACATTAGTCTTCATATTTAGAACAGGCCAGATGTTTATGTACTTTAGACGTACGGCGCTAAATGATGGTAATTCATGAATGAAATATTAAACCTTTCTAGTGAAAAAATAATTTAAAAGCGAAAATGTTGTTATATTGAGTACGTATGTAAACTGCAACTGAATCTTCTGTAGAATAGAACGAGTCAGAGAACAGAACACGTGTAGAGTTTTGGTTAATGCATGATAAAATTTGATTTTCGTATTGTCATTGCTTCGTGTGGGACCACGTGAAGCAATTACAACACGAAATTTGAATACGTGTTAATGTATTTTAACGTTAACTTTATTTTAACGTGGTAGCGTACACGAAATTTGAATACGCGTTAAGGTTTTCAAAGGCGTAAAATTCAAGTGAAAATCTCAAAGAAAAGAGTTCTAAAAAAAAAAGAAAAAAAAAAGAGTTCTCAATATAATTCTAGTCGCAACATTTCTTACAAGAAATTGTTTCGAAATAAGCACTTAACCGGACGAAGTTCCTAACAGGATAGTTTGAAAATAAGTAAATGTATTATTCTTAAATATTCTTTAATATTCTGAGACGTATTCATAAACATAGGACATAAATAACTGTGCAATTCCGTGGTATTCATGCACATCTTAAATTCTCCGCTTCAGATGGTGGCCAATATTGATGGGATACAATGCACAAATTTAATGTGCAACTGTGCGGCGTCATATGATATTTCTTTAAAAATTTGGAAATAAAGATTTTTCTTTCATATATCGAAACGAAAGCTGAATTTCCTAAGTAATTCTTAAATTTTGTAAAACTCCGCATTTGGATAAGAACTGAAGTAAATAATATAAAATTTTGCGTTCTACATCTGGTACACGAATTACATCTGAAAACCTTAAACATGTAACTAGTATACTTTGCAATATAATTTAATATTATAGAAAAGCAAAATGCTTTAGTTGAAATTAGAAAGTAAAATTACGCATTATTTTATGCTTAAAGGACCAAATTTAAACATATATCGTCATTAATGAAATCATGATAGTTAATACTTGTTTTCAAATTGTGATTTATCTAATTTTGGTTTTTGAATTTGATGAAGTTGTTTTGATTAATTTTGCATTTTTATATACTACAATAAAGCGCAGTTTACATTTAAAACATACGTTAATGCAAATAATTCAGTAAATAACATGATATAAAATTAATGTGCTTCTTGGTCTGCTTTTCGTAATCTCTTCCGAAGGTTATGGACTAAAGGAACCTATCGGGCACTTAGACTTCTATCCAAATGGAGGCGAACTTCAGCCTGGTTGTGAAACTGAAGTGAATGATACAGCTAAGACTAAAACTGATGTCTTGAGTTACATGAAGAGTACGTCCTTAATACATGAATTCTATCAAACGGGAATCACACGTTCCACAGGTAAGTTATTTCGAATGCTTATTCATGAGCATACGTGACGAATTCGCATGAACTGCTAAATTTAATCAGTATTCCCGAAAGATATCCTTTGTATTTTTCATTACGAGTTGAAAATAGATTTAGAATCAATTCTCTTCATATTATGATATTTTGTGATTTTGAAAAGAATTGTAATAAAGACGTTACCTTTCCGATTAGTCGAATTCCCTGGTATTATAATTAGAATGAATGCTAGGATGTATTGCCTTAGGACACACGTTACGTGAATTTCCGTAAACTTCAATCAAAATTATATTACAAGCATTAAAGGCTTGCAAATGTGGTTCACTTTTGATAGTTGTATCATAAATTTGTAATGTACGAGAGAGTTGCAACCGGTAATTCATCTTGACACTTCACGTTATTTCAGTCTTCACTAATTTTTTCGAATAAAAAGTAAAAAATCAGACTAAAATTTCAAATGATTTTGAGTTTCTTGCATCTCATAACCAATCGAGCACTCATCTATTGGTTTGTAACTATGGATGAGGTATAAAAGACCTTAAAAAGGTTGTAAAGCTAAGTAATAAGTATTTAAGCTGTTATCAGAAAATATTTATTTACTTATTTGTCAAATATTATAGTTACATTGGTCATTAGGCCATTAAACTCTTTGCTTGCCAATAGTGCTAAAAACTACAAGAAAAATTTATCAGTGCTTCACTACTCGTCCAACTGTTCCACCGTCATTGGCCGTCCACTATTACATAAAACACACAAAGGTGAATCACCTAGTCCAATGCGAAATAAATGATTCTGTAACAGTCATGTCCCCTCAATAGTCTAAAAGATGTAACCGCTATTGTTCGCGAGTGCTCAGGAACAAAAGCTGGGTTTGCTGAGAGAACACTCTAAGGCTTGCCCTCAGCGGCAAAATCTCTAAAAGTCTTTTGATATGTAAGCGATGTCAGAAGCTTAATAGAATAGAGGCTTGCACTCGCTTTTTGCTTTTGGATAGTCGCAGCCCCCTTTTTCGCAAGCATATCAGCCATCTCATTCCATAAATACCGCTGTATGAAGGTGTCTATTGAAAGGATATCTTTTGGGAAAGTTCTTTTATGACTTCCTGACATTGTTGAACGCATATGATCTCACACTCTTGGTAAGAGGAGGTGACCTATATTGCTGAAGTCGAATCAGACAGTACAACCACCCTCCTGAACGAGCTCTGTCTCAATGATAATTGTTGGAGAGCCACATGAATGGCTTTCATTTCTTCATCAGAGTGCGTGGAGTAAGCCCCTACAGGTATGTAGAAAATGAAGAGTTTGCTAAAAACTCAAGCTGGTTCCTATCGGTCAGACAGCCATCCGTATATACATGTATCCATTCCTTAGCCTGAAAACGTTGCTCAGTCGTTTCCAAAGCTATAGTTCTTATTTGCTCTGGACTCATTTCCTTCTTATAATCTTATTATCTGAAAATATTATGCAAGGTATATGTAAAAAAATGTAGAGAGCATATGCTACAGTAGAAGATCGGTTTCAGACAAAGAAGCTCATCACGAAAAAATAGTTTTTAAATAAAAAAAGGCTATGTTATTATTAAATCTTAATTTCATATACTTTAGTTATATAAATTTACTGCAATGTTATATTAATACATATAAAGTAAATTGCCGCTTGGGGATACGTGCTTTGTGAAGATAGGTAGTATTATTTCAAAAAACTAATTACTTCAACACGTTAAACACTGTGCAAGACATTCAGTAGTAACATAAAATACAAGACTAAAAATATTACAGTATTAAAGAAAATGAAAAAATAATTTTCTCTCAGATTTTATATTACGCCCAAAGGGGCCTCTTTTGACGTTTTGCGTGTTTCGTTATTTATTAAATGTTATGTTCTTCTCACCTAAACCATATAAAACTCAATTCAACAGCAATACCATAACCATAGGAATCGATACCATAGGATTACGTTATTCAAACTTATAGCTCTAGATACCATTGTTTTTCCATAATTCCAAAATCATACATACATTCATGTAGATTATTCATTCTTTATTTTCTCAAAATATAATACAGGGCGATAATATTTGGTGGCAACAATTTAAAAACTGATTCGCCGTTTACAGTGAAACCCCACAAAATGTCGTTTTGAGACTAGACGTTTTGAGACTAGGCTGCCGTCCTCTTGGGCTAACAAAAAACATAAATTACAATAAGTACTTACAAGTGTTAGATCTGGGGGAATCATAAACTGAAAGCATAAACTGTTGCCTCTTGATATTCTCCGAAGGGCGATTATTTACCGAAACGATGATAGGCTGGATAAGAGAAGAGATAAATTGATTCCTTTTTTTCTAAATAGAGATTTGTGAGTTGGACTCCAGAGGCCGAATCTGAAATATGAAAATTGTTAAGATCCGGGTTCAAATCCTGGCAGAGCTTCTGGAGGTTTTCCTAAGAGTAACGTGGATATAAGTCAGTTTACCTTAAAAATTCTTCTACAACAGAATTGTGCGCTTTTCCATAATCTAAATAAATAAATAAAAAAGGGATGCAAGTTCTTCCCTTTCTGGAGAACAGTATTTTTTACAAGTGCGGATTTCCACAGGAGGAAAGATCAATTGCCTTCTTGAAGCAGAATAAGACACCTGCAAAATGTCTTATATTTTAACTAATATTCCGTACTTTGCAATGATTTCGTAGATTCAAGGAGCCATTTCTATCCTTATGTTATCCAAAATGAGTCTATGATGCCTTGTTCCGTTATTACATAAGCTTTAAACTGACATTTGCAAGCTCTGGTCAAAATGAATTATATCTGGTATTTTACCGTTTAAAAATGTATTGGAGAAAGAGATCAGTTTCATTCTTACACGTTTCGTACTCATATGATATAAATTACTACTTAAATAGAGGTGTATCCTACGTAACTCTGCGGAAAGTCCTTATCATCCAATACAAAGTTGGGCATGGTCTGCTTTTAACACTTTTTTAATATGCACATTATTCTCCTCAACTATCCTTCCCAAAGGTACTGCTATAGTATAAACACTCTCTGAAATAGTTCTCGATGAGCATTTTGGAGAACATTATTTCCGAATATTCCTTCACAGGTAATAATTTAATCATAGTTCGAATTATTATAGCATAATCAGAGCAGTTTTTGGAAGACGATCTGCTGTTTTAGTCATTTGCTTTCTGTCAAATCACTAAAGATTTCTATGTGAACTACTTTATATTTCATAGATGTGAAGAAGACAATGTATGCTTTAGCAACTGATCCATTTTCTCTTGTACGAGAAGGACAAAGGAATTACAGGATGATTTACGGCAAAGGATTTGATAAGTTGAAGTCGATCTGGACGAAGTAGATTTTCAATTTTTTAAGCGTGTTACGTCATAGACGATTATCTTGAGAGATAAAAATAAGGCATCTGCTAAGTAAATTATCATAATTCAAAAATGTGCGGTGAAACTGCGGTCATTTAACTATGCTTCTTGATATATTATCAACAATTATTAAAGTAATAATAAAATATGCTATACACTACACTAAAATATGTATTGTAGTAATAAGTAAACTACTGTAAATAATAGCATATCTTCACCCTCGTATGTATGAAAGTAAGCAGTTCTTAGAGCTTAGAATTATTTGCAATAGACCAGTGTGGGGCAGAAAAGAAATGCAGGGTTACAACTGTACAAAGTAAAGTATAGTTTCAAAAAATTATTGAAGGTATAAAAATCATTCTTATTCCAGTAAAGTAGTAAATAATAGTGTTCATAGTTCATAAATAACGGTTTAAAATTCTTTTAACTTAATTTTTAAATTTTCGCTATTAATTTTGACGATAGATGGCGCTACATTCCTGCTCGCTTTACTGCAGTAGGGTATAAATAGGACCGTTGCATCTACTGCTTTCCAGTCTTACAAATTTCTTTGCTCCTGCTGAAGAAGGAGTTGTTTGTCGTCGAAATCAATTGAGTTTTTCGTCTACGCAGAATACACGGTTGTTTCCTTACTAATTTTAAGTAACAACTAACAGTAGTACTAAGGACCCTTTCACATTCACATAGAACTTACAAGTTAAGTTTAATCTTTTTAATTTTTCATATAGCGGCATGTGAGAATGGAAAGATTTCAGCTTTTGAAGTGTAATACTGTCATCTCTGTGGTTAGTCACTAGTTTTGTGCTTGAACGACATATATATCTAGACGCTTGTTTACAAACGGGATCTAAGAAAACGCATCACTTCACACTTATTGCAAACGTATTACTTCATGTTAGAAAAGACTATAAGTATTTAAATGCTAATTATTTAACAGAAATGTCACACTTTATGAACTTAAAAATTTTTATCATGGGATTGCATGAAAAGGTCGTCATCTTCGTCTTCCGTTATACCTTCAGGCACATCAATGAATTCTGCTTCATCTTCACCACCATCACTATTACTCTAATTCATAAATAATTAATCATCATCATCCGTTCCATTTTTCATCAACACCAAACACTCTTGCTGCAGCACGATTTTTATTTTCTTTTGCAAAATGAATGGCTGGACACAGATAAATACAGCTGATATAAAAGTTGATATTTCTACTAAAACAAATGCGATTTACTGAAACCTTAGATGTTTCATTTCAAATCACAGCTTCAAATGACTGCAAAAAGAGAAAATAATCTAACTCCTAATTCCATGGATTCATTCAGGTTGGAAGTGTATTGTTAATCCAAATTATATCCCCCTTTTCTTAAAACCCTACAATAGCGTTATTTGGGACTCCTGCATTGAATACAATACACCCTCATTGGAGGAATATTTTTTTTCCTCCAGCATTACACCACTGTTTGAATGACTAAGACAAATCTTCGAATGAGTAATCTTAACCCTCTGAGTAGCATAGGATTTTAGATCCGTCATGAAGGCCAGTATTTAAACAGCATTTATTAATTTAGTTTGTATAATTACTTATTTTAGACTGCATTTTCATAAGCTTAAGATGATACTTACATTATTAAAGAAAGTAAGAAAGCAAAATATCTTAAATTATAAGCTAATATATACCAAGTAGCCAAACTTCTGATGACCGGATAAACCCTGTCATAACGCTCAGAGGGTTTTTAAAGGCACATGTATATTTCTTCATGAAGAATGGGACGCGCGTTATATGGCGAATATACCTAAAAGTTAAAAATGTAGCTTGAAATTATAAATGCATGTTATACTCCGGTGCGCGTTATGCAGTATGTTAAATTCATTTTTTTATCCATAAATGTGATATTTTATTTCACAAATTGTTTTCCTTCTGCAAGTGTTTTCATAATTTCTGCAAGTTAATTTCATATTCATCAAATCTCCATCAAGCAGAGCAACTTTTAAGGTGGGAATTTCTATCCACAAAAATTCCACCTTTTGCTAATGTAAATAGGAAGCAATCTAAAAGGAAAGTACAGCCATATTTAACAGAAAAAGGCGGATATTGGAGTTTAGAGCAACGAATCAAATGTCTAATGACAGTCACGAAGTTCTGCCTACTAATACATTCTTAGCCGTCAAGAAAGTTGTGATGTAAGAAATTTGTGAATCTTGAGATTAATAAGTATGCTCGGTTAAGTTTCCAAAGATACATAGATAAGGTTCTAAAGTAACTATTCTCATACCTCATATTTCATTAACGAACATATAGTGCTCTTGATTGGGATTAATGTTGGAAGAGAGCACTTTATACATTGAGCCTGCTGTATTTCTGTATGTTATGGACACGGTTTTACTTAACATTCATTAAGAGAGATCTATGTTTTCATTAATCGATCAAAACTTAATATAATTAAAACCAATCGGTCTGAATTAGTGGATAAGTGAAGAAGAGTGTAGTTTAATTTTAGGAAATGTACATGGATACATGGTATAAAAAGTTTAATCCCATGCTTTAATTTCAGTATTCATATTTGTCTAAAGATGGATTCTTAGGAAAAGCTCTACACATCTCTTTTATTCTTATTAATTTATTTTAAAAATATAATACATAATTCTGCCGTTATTTTACAATTCACATGAACTTTTACATATTTAAAAGATAGCTCGATGGATGGTATGCAATTTATCTCAGATTACAATGTTTTATTTTGTCATTTAACACTGTGCAAAATTAAAAGTAAAGGTAATAGTATTCTGAAATTCCTTTAATAAGTTTGCTGTAAAAGAAAGATTAATAATTCAGTTATTTTATGAAAACGCTTCCATAAAAGCATCTATAATTTTAAGCAAATACGAATATATATATATATATATATCAGCTTTGACATACTTTAGTTAGACTATTGTTGGCAATGGAACTTGAGAAGGGTGAAAAAGACCCTTAATTCAAAACTAATAGAAACAGAAAGCACACTTTGTGCTTATATCTCAGCCAGCTCCTTGTGACGATGTAACTTAAGAGTAGCAGTAAGTTTAAGTGTGAAATTTAAATTCAAATTAACTAGTAGCAAAAGTATAAACAGATTAGTTTAACGCGAAGGTGGCTTGAAATTTAACCGGATTAAAATTCAGCTGTCGTAAATTGTAAAGCAATGACGAAGACTGACGCAAACTAAATCTGCATTCTGGTGTGAAAACGGAAGGGAAAATGACAGTTATTTAAAACATAAAATAACTAGTTAATTAACATAAAAGATCCTGTAGTAATTAAAATTATAATATGTGTTAGACATTATTGGTAAGAGCAATAATACTGATAATCTGTAAAAAGACATGAGATTCGAGGAAATTAATAATAATATATCAAGTGAGATTTCTATTATGAGGTGTTTTATTGTTGAATTACGTAAGTGGTTTAAATATCATGTTTGTTTATTTCAGCCGAGATAAACACGGGAGTTTTATCCTGTAGCCATGCCAGAGCCTATGAATACTTCATTGCAAGTTTAAATGAACCAGACTGCAGATTCGATTCCTTAATTTGTTACAGCTGGGATGCATACATTTACAATGATTGTGGGGCATGCACTACCACCGCATGCATACGGATGGGATTTTATGCTGACGTTGATGGACGTGGCTTTAGAAACGAGAAATCGTTGAAAGTCTACCTGGACACCGAAGATACTTTTCCTTATTGCTCTCCATTTCTCACTTCCATTCTTTCAAGAAAACTAAAAATTAGAAAAGATATGCTTTGGATTATTCAATTATATTAAAAATATTATGTTCAAATAAATTAAAATTGGCTCTTGTACCACTTAACTTCAAAAATATTAAAATCCATACTTCTCTAAAATAAATTGGTTTAAAGGTACAAACTATTTTATTCGAGTCTTCGAGTCACATTCCTTCACGAAATCAAAATTTATTTAAAATGGCTTAGCCGGTCCCCTCGGCGACGACATATTTCTCAGTAATCAATTAACAATCTTCAGAAAAACTCACTATCTGAAAAGTCATAACGCATTTTTTCTATGTTCTTCAAAAGCCGTTTGCTTATATAAAGAACAATGATCAATCAATAGTATATTGCGCGTTCTGTTTGATAGCTAAATGCTTTGATTTAACGGGCTTCGTAATTTCTTATTCACAAAAGAATGTAGCTTTAACTGTTAAACGTTGAATAGGGTGCTGATATATGGACTCATCTGAATTGAATATTATACAGCGAAAGAAATGCTGAGGTAAGTGAAAGAAGTCTGAAGACACAAGATCAGATGAGTATGTTTGAGACGCACGCCTGGCAACACTTTTAATTCAAACTCCAGTAATTTTGTTCAGCGATCAAACTTCTGTGTTCCAAGCTCCTATCAACGATCCAACAAATCAGTTCGAATGTTCGCTGTCGCCGAATTCGAGTTTATTTAAGTTTCAAGAAATCCATTTTCCTGAAATTTCCAGAGCTTATTAATCGTATGGAAACTGCATTCTATCCTAATAACACGAGACCATTCACAAGGCTGGTAACCTGAAAAAAATTATTAGAGTTTAGGGCAAAAGTGTTGCCACGCATGAAATACCCGCCCCGAATTTGTGCCTTCAGACTTTCACTTGTTCTGCTCTATTCAAAATTTTTTTCGTGGAATAACATTCAATTCAGATGAGGCCGTAAATCAGTCTTGTTCACCTTGTTTATCTTCTCGTCAACGAAGCTAGTTTAAAGCGCGGCTTTTGTTAATGAGGAATTGCGACGAAGCTCATTAAAATGCATCGAACAAAGCAGGCAATATACTAAAGACTGATCCTTGTTCTTTATATAAATAAAGGATCTTTGAAGAAAAATGCGTCATGGCTTTTCAAATACATCAATATAGCAGAAAACACGAAAGAAATCAGAAGTCAAGCGCCTTAATGACAAAATCGATTTGGCAGCTAAGATCAATTAACGTACACTGCGGGGGAAAATGAGACAGTTCTATATCTTCCATTCTCCTGCGTGTTGGGGCGATTGACGAAATTCAACTTGCGTTTTTCGTGTCTCGAAATCGCGGCTTAGATATGCATTCGATTTATGTATAGCTTTGTTCTAATATAGGTATCTTGACACAAAATCACACTTTTTCTGAAATGAAATGCCAATTTTTTTCCATATTTCGATTCTACGACTCAAATTATGCCAAAATACCAAGTTTTGGAAAAATCGTAATTTTTAACGAATTCGCTCTCCTAATTTTAGTTTCTCCATGTTAACTGAATTTGATATATATTTATTAATATTTTTTTTATTAAATTTACTTGATTCCTTCTTCCAGAATTCGGAATTTAGGTTCACTGCAAATAAAACCCATCCATTTTTTATGATTTATTTTTAAAATTTGTATTTTTAAATCATTTTTATAAATTTTTCAAAAAATATTTTGAGTTATAACCAGTAAAAGTTTTACCATCATCTTAAAGCAGATGTAACTCTAAGTATACCTGCAAAAAATTAGAGTTTCTTTTATTCAAAATTTCCTAAGATATACTTGAATTTACATATTCGCGTGTTTTGAAATTTGGCATATTTTTTATAAGCGAAAATAACGCCAAATTTGGTTTACGCACTTTGTTAAAATTATTTGAAAGTATGGAAGATGATCGTTTTTCCGCTCGTGTACAATGAAAAAAGGGGAAGAAAAATAATTTGTTATAAATTAAGAACTTCGCCAAGGGAATTATTCTTGGCATAAACTGAAAAATAATTCGCCACGATAAAAAAGTCCGATTTTGTGTCAAACTACCTATATTAGAACAATACTGTGTATAAATCTCATTTACACCCTATGTAGTGCTTTTGAGACATGAAAAACACAATTTGAATTTTGTCAATTAGCCTAGTAGAACCTCGGTGATATAGAACGGTCTCCCTTTTTTTTCCGCAGTGTACTTTAAAACTACCAGTAAAATAGCCACACCTGAGGTTATCTTTTGGAACAAAATACAGAAATCAAGATTACAATAACATGAAGGTTGTAATGACTTTATATTAATAAAGAAAAAGAATATAAACACAGTACTTATTGGAATTTAAACAAGCTTCAAAAAACCATACTTTCAAGTATATAATAGTACTCTATAAATGAAGAAATGCTTGAAAAAATTTATGAAATTCATGAATTATTTAATGAAATTTCATAATGCTGACATTCTATAACATAAAAAATATTTCCAATTAAGCGGAATGAAGCAAAGGAATTGTCACATACATGAAATAACAAACTCGATAAAATTTAATTAGTACTTATCAAATAAAACATTTGCTTTTCTTTAAGTTTTTGTAATCAATGTATAATAAAAGGGTTCCCCTAAGGTATCAAAAATCATTTCTTTCATTGTTATCTGATACAATGATAAGCAACTATAAATAATTCTATTTAATTAATATGTATATGCAACCAAATTCGTATCATAATTATTCCAACTGTATAATAGTTAAATTATTAAGTAGAAATTTGGCATATTTGCTATGACATAAGCTAAATTTAAAGCCCTAACTAAATAAGTCGGATTATATGAATGTGGAAAACAAGAGTTTTACACAGCAAAAGATGCAATATTTTCCACATTTTTATTTAAAATACATTTCTGAATTCTATCGTGCTAATAAATGCATTTCAGTTTACGATAAAATTCTAAATTATAATTTGTAGCTCTACCACTGTAATTTATGGTTGCCGCAAATACAAAAGAATAGTAAAATAACTGTATATTTTAAATGGCTACTCAACAAAATAATGCAACGCCATTGAAGCATTAATTTAGTATGCATGGCAGCTGTGGACAGAGATACACTGTTAAAAAACTAAATGATCACCCGTTTTCGCAACAGGTATGCTCACCTAGCAAATCGGATTATAATCTACTAAATGCGATTTGAAGCTTCCCAGATATTAGAAGAATATTTTTTTATGCAAAACAGCACCGTTGATGCCCAAATACGTAATTGTTAGAATTCCAGAATAGATTGATTGGATTGGAAACTCCGCAATATGTCTTTTGTGTCCCACCATATCAAGTTTAATGGTGTTCGTTTTGCAGAAAGAGTTGAAGTAATATCTAAGCATCTCAGTTTACAAGAAAATTTGTTTGTCGCAGTTGGTTGAAACAGCTTTACTGCGACAGAGAATTCCCTTATGATTCTCTGGCGTTCCTCAACTTGGTTCCAGAAAGCTGCAAAGCTCACCTACGAGTAACAATAGAAGTCTGCGGTCGTTTTCTGTGCATATCAGCCTATCGAAATATAAAAAAAGAAAAACGCTACTTTCTTGTAAAGTCCACTTTTTTGTCCACTAACAAATGATTTGGATATACGAAAAATGCAGTTAAATAATGCAAATGGACATCAATTTCTCACCACAGATGAAGTCAAGATTCTGTTTGTAACAAAGTAATCGTTACATCGATGAATATACCACTCATTTTGCACCACGCAGCACACAGCGGGAAACGTAGCACCAAAAGGAACATAGCGAGACACATATTCCCAAATAAAAAAAAAAAAAAAAAAGAAAAGAAAGCATTCAAGAAGAAACTCCAGTTTTTTAAACGAGTGCTAAACGAGTCGAGGTGGGGGACTGTTGGTTTGGGCAAAACTAATTAGACCGTTAGTACGTAACAGTATATCATTCAGAATTCTGATACAATGGGTATCAATACACAATGGGTACAATATACAATCTGATGGGTAAACGCCACCGAAATGAAATTCTTTAACCTTAGATCTTGTTGAAGCTATCGATTATACGTTTATTTCATGGATATAATGCCTGTGTTATAGACTTCATCTTGTGGAAAATTGGCTTTGGGTATACAGAATGAAGCGTATGAAGTGGCCGGTGTGCTCATTCGGCCTGAGTCTAACAAAAACGCATTGGATAATATTGCTTTTAGGATAAGACGTCTTTTTTACATTTCAGGTGTTAGTTCCTTGTAGAGTACGAGGAAAATAGAATAGTAGTATACTGCCACAATACACTGGTGTGCAAAAATTAGGGACGAAGTCGAAAAATTAGCATATCAGCTGAACGAAGAGGCAGAGCGGACAGAAAGACCAATCAGGAGATTAAGTAAGGTGATGTACGGTAGCACATGCGCAGATATGCAGGTAGACGTAATGGGGGAGTGTCTGAGTAGTATAAAGCATGTTGTCGGTGTAAGATCAGTATTTCTGGCAAAGAGATTGCACGCCGTATAGCAGAAATTAAAGTCACACCGAGTTGCTGCCTCAGCGAGAAATGGCGAATAATCAATCTGTTAGACGACATCTGGATGCTTTTACCCGAGGTCGAATCATTGGGAAGTTGGAGGAAGGCCGCAGTGTGACAAGTGTGGCTGCAGAGTTCGGAATTGCTCACAGCATCGTTTCACGACTTTGGAGACAATTTCAAACTACAGGAACAGCTATCCGGGGGTTTAGTAGTGGTCGTCCACGAGGAACCACACCCGCAGAAGACCGGTTTATTGCCTTACAGGCCAGAAGAAACAGGCAGCAGACAGTGGGAGAAATCGCTAGACACACTACACAGGCAACTGGACGACCGATATCGCGTTTTACCGTGGCCAGAAGACTGCACGGTGGTGGTCTGTTTGCACGACGCCCTGTACGGTGTGTACCTCTAACGCCTGCCCATCGGAGAAGGCGTTCTCTGTGGTGCCGGGAGCACAGGAATTGGAGAGACAATGAATGGGGACGAGTGCTCTTTACAGAGGAGAGCAGATTCAGTCTGAGCAGCGATTCTCATCGCATACTCATCTGGAGAGAGCGGGGAAGCCGCAATCATCCCTCGAATATCATTGAAAGGGACAGGTATGGAGGTGGCGGTGTT